GTGTTGTAGAGACTTTGCTGCTGAGGGGCTTGGGAATGAGACTGGAGCGCAGCGAGGGTCATCGGATCATTCAGCCGGTTCTCCTGCTCCTGAGATTGCTGAGCTGACATTTGATTGAGATACATTGTCAGTGGATTGTTGGCTCCGACATTAAGAATACCCGACGGCGAGGAGACTTGCTGCAAAGGGTGTCTGCCGGGGTGTCCATTCTGAGAGCCAGTGGACCCAGGGGCAGGTGATAGAGCGGGATGAGTTGGGCTGGATCCAGAGCCGGACTGGCTCAGGTTCTGCTGATAACCGTTCAAGGCCGGAGAGGGGGATTGTGTGCCTTCCATTCCTGAACCGTTACGGCCTTGCTGGCCACCATTACCAGCCTGACGCGGAGGGTTTCCACACCGATCCTTGCCAAAGTTGATCTTAAACCGCTTGTACTCGTCCCGGTTTCGCATTCCCTCGATCGCTTTGATGGCATTGGCGATGTTAGTGAAGTTGACGAAAGCGCAGCTCTTCTCGCGCAATGTGTTAACAAGCTCAATCTCTCCGTATTCCGAAAAGTCCTGACGCAGACGTTCTTCCGACCAGGTCTCGTCCAGGTTTCCAACATAAACATTCCGCGAAGCACCTCCGCTCACAGCGAGAGCAATGGCTGGGGGGAGGGGTCCCGAGTGTTTACCCCATCCGATCTTCAAACGACGGTTATGGATCATGAGGCCCTGAAGATTGCTCAAGGCATAGAACGAAGCCGCCGAGGTCGGGTCAATAAAGGTGACAAAGCAGATGTGCTTGTCCGGAATATAACGAATGTGGTGAAGAAGTCCACCACGTACGACATTACAGATTTCCTCAATTGTGGTTTCAGGGTGGATGTTGCCCAGGTAGATAGTGCGATTACCGAGGTTGTTCACGCCACCAGCTGTGGTAGCCACGGCTGCGGCGGCAACAGACTGTTGAGCGAGCGCATTCGTGATCAGGTCACGGTCTGCCGAGTTAAGAATATGAGCGTATCCTGGAGCAATGCCCAAGAATTGGGCGGCGTTCTGCTGCTGGGTCTTTGAGACGTATGCACATCGGTCTTTACCGTAGAAGACACGCCGGGGGGCCTGCCACTTGGCCTCCTGAGGTAATTGTGAGACAGCCTTCATAGCGTTACTGATCGACAGGAAGTGGACAAAACCAATCGCCTTCTCTTTGACAATCTTGACAGTGTCGATGAGACCGAACTTGCCAAGTTCCTCCCGAAGCTCTTCTTCTGCCATCTCCTCGGGAAGATTGCCCAGGTAAACATTCCGCGATGCGCCAGATTGTTGCACTGCAAGCGCCACTGATGTAGGTACTTGCGAAGGCTTTCCCCATCCAACCTTGATATCGTTACCCTTGATGGCGAGCTTCTTCAGGATAGCGTCCGAGTGAAAATGTGTCGCGGAGTTACTGTCCAGGAAAGAGATAAATGCGCAGTTCTTGTCGGGAAGCAAGCGAACGGATTCAATCTGACCGCTCCGCACATGGTTCAAGATCTCTTCCGCAGAAGTTTCGGCAGGGATATTCCCCAAGTAAACAGTACGGCTCGTTCCAGAAAGCATACCAGGGGTTACCGAGGCGGCATGAGCGCCAAACACGGCGTTACCCAACCCGCTCAAGCCTCCTACTGGAGACTGCGGAGCTCCTAGCATCTGGGAGTTACCCATGCCATCTGGCGACAACATGCCGGAGTAAAGACCATGATTCTGTGAAGGCTGAGTCGGACTTGCGAGAGGGTGGCTCTGATTCTGTGCATGTGTGGGACCATTGACTTGAGGAAAGCCTCCAAAGTTGGCGAATTGAGGCGAGGCAAACGCAGATGGGGTGCCGGGTTGGAAAGGACTACCAAGTAGCAGCTGAGACGGTAGGAGGGGAGTGAAGTTCATGTCGAACGCGGTCCCCGCGGAACCCATGGTGTCCGAAATCGGAGCTGAGGTGTTAATGGCAGGAATATTGGCACGACGAGCGTTCCGGTCCGATAGACCCTGCAAGGGAATATTGTTGGAATTGTATGCACCGTGGGAGAAGCCCGTGTTGTCCGCGTTGAGATGAGAGAACTTGGAGGGAATCAGACGACTCGGGATGCTCGCATCGGAGGTTTGCATGGCGAGAGAAGAGAGCGACTGGACACGAGAGTCCCCTAGAGAAACAAAAAGAGAACGGGGGTGAGTAGTCGGAGATGGGATGGTTGATGTCACCCAGCCAAGGGCCAAAGGGAGGGAGGACGTACGATGCAATTGACACGGTAAGAATGGCCAGGGGAGAGGGAAAAAAGCCGGGCCTGAAGATCACCCCCAGAAAGAGTAGGGGGGGGAATAAGGACAAGAAGAGAGGCTCAAGAGGCCAGAATGAGAGTAAGGCGATTGAGGAATGAAAGTAATAAGAATAAGGACACAGCACGGGGCAGAAGTCCTCTTCCAACGGAGACGTGTCTAGAAGGGATCCCAGTAGTCAATTGGAATGTGCATGGACAATGAGCGGATGGGCTGGTGGAACGGAGACAAACCTGTGATGGTTTAGTTGAGTTTAGGGGGGGTGGGTTAAGTTTGCGGGTAAAGAAGGCCGAGATCCAGGAGACTGGAACAGGGGCACCAGGAAGAAAGAAAGTGGACGAACAGCAGTTCAACCAAAATTGTAATGACGATCAAACAGGTGAACAATAGTGAAAATGTGCTATGGGTCTGTCAAATGAGAAGCCGAAGTCAAAAAACCGACATCAAGAAGTGAATGAAAGGAATAATCCAGCGAACCCTGCGTAAAGTGCCAGATTGCTAGAGTTTCAAATGGTGACAAAGAAGGTCTGCCAAAGGCACCAATAGTTGAGCTCAAAAGGGATAAGTGGAAATTGACTGTGGAGAGAGAGAGAGGAGGATGATTGCAAAGAACAAAAGTAATTGAAAGAAATGATAAACAAAAGCCAGACTAATAGTTGCCAATTCAAGTTCAGAAGGAAAAGAGGTCCGATGGAGTAAGAAAAATAAAAAAATAAAATAAAAATAAGGTACGCAAAAGGGGACCCCTGGTAGGAAGGGGGAAAAGGGGGGCGTGTGAGAGATAGAGCGATAGACTGTCCGTCGAGAAAGATAATACCTTGATATTATTGAGCGATTTGCTGGGACTTTCGCAAGGCTGCTGCCCTCTCACACCTGGCTCAAGGAAGAATGTCTGAAGAAAAGACAGTAGAAAATTCAACTCAAAAAGGTAAGACTTTGAAAAACAAATGAATAACTGGGTTAAAACAAATGAAATTGGTCAACGCCGACAATTTCCGGGTAGAAACACGAAGCGTCAGAAAGGCGAGAAAGAGCAACCGTAACCACACAAAGAGAGGATCATGTAAGCAAGGAATGAGAGGGGACAGGTATGTGACCGATGATATGGGGAAATTAAACTAGGCAGTCTTTGTCGAACGGGACCAAAGCAAAAGGGGGTGAGGGAAATTCCTCAGGCAAAGCTAAGGTCGATTGAGCCATCATAATAAGTTTTGAAGGTGTCGATAATTTTAGAAGTGGCAGATAATCTTCTTTTCCCCTGTGGAGTGAGAGTTGATTAGTAGATCCGTAGTTTTGAAGCAAAGATGGGGAAAAGGACCCCATCGAACGAATGATCCAACCATCTGCCTGTCAACCAGATTGTCTGAAACAGTCTTTTTTTTGCTTGGCCGGCAAGGCTCTGGGACCAGCGTCTAGGATCAACACTTCATGATAATAGTATCGTATCCATAGCCATGACATTACCTCTTTCTTGAGAGGTATATCGAGTAGTTTGATTCAAGTCTCAACCGCGTCTTCGTGTCTGTCAGCCAAGTCTCAGGCGGACTTTGACCACTAGCCTCGCGCGTCCAGGATCTGAATGGAATGAGATTATTTTTGTTGATCTTCTTTTTGATGTGAAGCGAGCGCATAGATAGCCCCTAACAGAGAGGGTCGACACTCCTCCCGCGACGCGCTCTTTTGTCTTCCATCCGGATAAGATGCATCACCTTCACAGACGTTATTTTTCTTCTGCTCGCGCGCGATCAGTCATTCAGACCTCTGATCAGTTACCGTGGAATCGGTAGTCACTATCCACATTGGGTAATGGGGGGCGTGTCAACCAGCCACAGACCGTCTGACGGTGGGGTGTTCCTGGACCGGAGAGAGGATTTTCGGGATATTGCACGGAACTCATCTTGATCCGGTCCGGCTGCAGAAGCATCCACTACTTGGTCAGTGCCTTAGGCAGACAGGCAGCCAGACAGTCAGACAGATCACATTCGTGGTATCTGGGGGAGAGCATATCGATGGCAGATTGGAGCTAAGTGCTCTCAGTCATCTCAAGTGACGGGAAAAGTGGCTCTACTTCAAAGGATACCGTAATCCGTGCGAATTTCAATGGCAAGCGACCAGAAGTGCAGGGCGAGGCGACTGAGGCGGTCTAGGACGAGTGCCTATTATACTCATATTTCCCCGCAGGGAACGACATTCTGCACACTCACGCTCTTTATCAAGAGAATACTAGTTATGTCTTGTGTTGTCCTATATGGAGTAGCCTACCGAAAATGCTCTGCTTTTAACTACGAAGGGTTGAGGCATGACGCACCGACTGATGGGACGACCGGATGCGTGTTCCGTCAGTACTGCCCGGTGGCCTTAAAGCCATCTCTGCCTGAGGCACACGCGGGGATATTGGGCGGAATCCAGAAATTTACCCCTCCGCAAGAGAGAACAGTCTTTCCGCACTGTGCGATTCGGACAACCTCACCTCACCTTCACACGGGACTTGCTGTGGTAGCATTTCCTTGTCTGACCGATTGGTTAAGATGTAAGTTCCGTACTTTTATCATACCCCTGTCCTCCACTCCAGTCGCCCCTGATAAGGCAGGAGGTGTGTGTGACTCACATGCACGTCTCCAAATGGATATCCACTGATCACAATGCTCCCTGGTTAGAACATAGACTCAATACCCTCAAACCACAATACCTTGCAAGAGGACCAACACAATGGCCACCATCTATATCGACGAGGATGTCGGCCGGGACGAGTCGACCGCGACCGGCACCGAATCCGCTCCTTACAAGACTCTTGTCCACGCTTTCACACAGCACCCTCCCTCCGAAGGAAACCAATACCTGACCCGCAAGTCCCAGACCGAGCCCGCCGAGGAGGGTGCCGACAAGCTCGAGTGGAAGCCCGCCACCAAGTCGGCCGTCAAGAAGGCCACCAACCTTTACGAGCAGCGCAAGAGAAAGGCCGCCAAGGAACAAGAGCTGGCAATCCGCGAGAAGCAAGAGGCTGAGAAGCGCCAGGTCATCCTGGAGGAAGCCAAGAAGGTCGTCATCAAGGAAGATACCTCCCTTCCCAAGCCCGTCAAGATCCGCCTCGATGAAACCGACCCCGCCGTCGTCAAGTTGGGATCTCCCGAATCCGAGGGCCCTGGTACTCGTGTCCGCGTTGTTGGACGTGTCCACCGCTTCCGCCCCCAGAAGGACGTTATCTTCCTTACCCTGACCGATGGTTCCGGCTACCTTCAGTGTGTTCTGACCGGTCAGCTCGTCAAGACGTACGACGCCATGACTCTCACTCTCGAAACCTCCATTGCCATCCACGGTGAGATGCGTGCTGTGCCCCCGAAGCAACACGCTCCCGACAACCGCGAGCTCCACGCGGACTTCTTCACCATCATCGGCCGTGCTGCTGGTGACAAGGATGCCATCTCCAACCGTGTCGCCCCTGACGCCGATCCCCAGACCCTCTACGACAACCGTCATCTGGTTCTCCGCGGTGAGACCATTTCCTCGGTGATGAAGGTGCGCGCTGCCACCCTGCGGGCTTTCCGCCAGACCTACGAAGAGAAGCGCATGCTGGAGGTCACTCCTCCCGCCATGGTGCAGACCCAGGTGGAGGGTGGAAGCACTCTTTTCAAGTTCGACTACTACGGGGAAGACGCCTACCTGACCCAGTCGTCCCAACTCTACCTGGAGACCTGTCTCCCCTCGCTCGGCGATGTCTTCTGTGTTTGCCCCTCTTTCCGCGCTGAGAAGTCCCTCACTCGTCGTCACTTGTCCGAGTACACTCACATTGAGGCGGAGCTGGACTTCATCACCTTCACCGATCTCCTGGATCATCTGGAGCACATGATTTGCCGTGTCATCGAGATCTTGCTAGCCGATCCTGCCACCAAGACACTCATCGAGAAGCTCAACCCCGACTTCAAGCCCCCCAGCCGTCCTTTCAAGCGCATGCGCTACTCCGATGCTATTGAGTGGCTCCGTGAGCACGACATCCCCAACGAGGAGGGCAAGCCCCACGAGTTCGGCGATGATATCGCTGAGGCCGCCGAGCGCAAAATGACCGACATCATCAACCAGCCCATCTTCCTGACCCACTTCCCCGCCGAGATCAAGGCCTTCTACATGAAGAAGGACGAGCAGGATCGCCGAGTCACCGAGAGTGTCGATGTCCTGATGCCCGGTGTCGGTGAGATCGTTGGTGGTAGTATGAGAATGGACGACTATGATGAGCTGATGGCCGCCTACAAGCACGAGGGCATGGACCCCTCTCCCTACTACTGGTACACTGATCAGCGCAAGTATGTCAACGTCTTCCTGCCTCTACCCCCCCCCTCCTCTCCCTGTCACCACTTTGATATGTCTGACTAACATCTCTTAGGTACGGAACCTCCCCCCACGGTGGTTACGGTTTCGGTCTCGAGCGTTTCTTGGCCTGGTTGTGTGCCCGCTACACCGTCAGGGACTGCTCCTTGTATCCCCGCTTCACCGGCCGCTGCACGCCTTAAGGAGTTGTGTGATAAAGTAGAAAGCATCCATAGATATCACGCGTTAATGTGGACTGTCTGTGCCCTTCAAAAGAATCGCGAAGATTGCATGTTCAAATCCAGCTGCGAGGGAGTAAACGTAGATTCCCTGGGTAGAATTCCATCCCGACGTGGCGAATCCACTATGTAGTGTTCGGAGGTCATCCTCTAACTTCTAACAGGACAGATCGTTCGTAGTTAGATGAAGGCTGTATGTGCAAGAGTCTTCTGCGTAGAGGCGAGCAAGCCGACGGGCGCCTAGCTCCTCTTTTCCAGTGGCCGCATTCTTATCCCAGACCTTTCGACTTCATTTCAATCGGCTAGCTTTAGCTTTATTGCAAAGTATACGTGCGGATATGATCCGTCACACCTGATGACGGTAATAATCCGGGAGAGAAGGTCCATCGGAAGTATCCCCAGTATCAACGAGAGGGATACGACGCACAAGGCCGCTTAGAGACCTCACAACAAGGCCAACACCCAAGAGGAAGAATATACAAACATCCGAGAACAGCTGGTCCCAGCCAGGATGGCAGTTAGTGTTGCAGCAGAAGACGCAGTGGCAAAAGGCAGCAGACAACCCATGGATTTGGGTCAAGGCGTCCGATCCGATCGGTCGTAACCCACACTTTCCCGAGCCATGGTCCTGGGCGGTATACATATACGAGCGGGTTGCAACATCCGCGGGGATGTTTGGCATGTGATAAGAGGTTGTTCTCGCCTGGAGATACGAGGTATTTGTGAATTGGGGAAAGATTTTGAGGGTTCAACTGGGCGGAATGGTGGTCAGAGGGAGGGCGTTGGTGGTTAAAGTTATTAGTACGGGTGGGCTATGTCCACACGCGCAATGCCTGGGGAGCTCTATTGGCATCGAAAGTTTATCCTAGGTAGGAGGCAGAAACAGATTTGCGTTCGACTTGCTCGAGTCTACCTGCTGTTGTAGGAGGTGGCATTCCCATGTTCTACCGCTGTACTTTGGCATAGGGGAACCGGTCGAAAATGGATCATGGCGCTGGCACTTACGAGCCGACGTTGTTGTTGTTGTTGTTGTTGTTGTTGTTGTTGTTGTTGTTGTTGTTGTTGTTGGAAAGACTGTGTTCTGATGCATGTCAAACCGAGCGTTAAGGCTGATCGTGTCGACCTCGTGTGTGTGGTATCAGGAGATGACGCAATGTGACAATCATACTGTGTCTTTTAGTCGAGTGAGTCGAAGTGTGAACCTGATCGTCTTCACATGGGCTAGCGTCCATGTGCATCCGAATGGGCACCGTGAGCGACCCAGTTAGTGGTATGCGAAATAAAGTCAAGACACAACCTCCTCATGGTGTTATCCTCTGGGGCACATCCTCGGAAAATGATATAGTGCGCTGGTACTGTAAGCCGCAACTTCATCTGGGAATACTTCCGAGGAATAGACAGGTGATTCTCTCTTCTCAGTGGTCGACTAAACCAGATTCTAAGTGACAGAATGTTTCACCCAACCATTCTCCTCCCCATTAGTGCATCCTGCGGTCAACCAGGGTCAACCCGAAGAGAAACTGTCTCATAGCCCATAGAGTTTATCACGAATCCCTGCCGAACACGATTTTAACTTCATGGGAGACATGACTCGAGTAGCACTCTAATTGTTCTCTTCCCTGGGGCTTTCGTCATCTTCATCCTCGGGAATATCATTGATGGCAGGATCGTTGTTCAGCAGATCGTAGATGTCGGTATCAGAGGGATTGGCACGAATGATGGAGATCAAGTGAGCAACACGCGCCTGATCTCCGCTGCGGACAATGATCATGATCCGTTCCAGAAGACCTCTAAAATAGTCGAGCTCGGCTGCGAGTTCTTCAGGGGCCTGTGAGGTGCTTGATTCAAGATCAGAACTCTGGCTAGTGTCGTCCGGGTGGTCGTTGTGGAGGCTTTAAAAATCCACAGACGGTTAGGCAGGAACCAATGCGGGGCCAGCATAGTGAGTTTCAGGGCTGAAAAGTGTCTACCTTTCATCTCCATTTGGGGCAGAGCTGCTCTCTTCCGCAGTCATATTGTTATATCGTCACAAGGCAGAAGTTTGCTGGTCTTGGCTGCCTCAAGGTCCCGCGGGGTAGTGGTTGAGGGCTGCACAAGACGGGAGCGACACGGGGTTCTGGTGGTGATCCGGTTGAGTACGTCAGGGGGTTCTCGCAACAGAAAGGTATGGGAAATGATGAGGTTGGGTGTGAAATGAAATAGTAGGGAAGAATGGTTGATTCCCACTGAGGAAGAGCACTATCGACTGGATGATATCTGGACGGCCAGAGAGAGGGGGAAGTTGCAGTGATAGGAAGTAAGAGTGCAATGAGTTAGTGGTGTCTAGTCCCTCCTAGACAGAGTGACAGGCTGGCAGGCTGGCAGGCTGGCAGTCGGCTGAGGCTGACCCCCTGGGCAGTCAATGCGGTGTCCGAAGAGTCACACACTCAACCGATACTTCCGCGCATCAGCCATTTGCGTGGTAGGGGAGAGCTTTCATCTTCCTGGTTGGAACCAGACAGAGAGAGAGATGAGGGAGGAAAAAATATCCATGCCTTTTAGGCCAAACAAACTGGGTGACAGGGTGGACTGATAGGCGCACTGGCGCGCCTACAGAAGGGGTAGACCGTCACAAATCGAGCCTGAGTTGCAGCCCGTAGTAGTGAACAAGTGCCACAATTCACCCTAAACCACACCGGAACCCTCAGTGGCAAGTACCACTGGGTATCTGGGTATCGCTAGTACTCCGCCCAATATACCATTGGATTTGGGGGGCCACTTTACCATCACGGACGCTGCGGATGCTCTGTAATGGCACGTTTTGGTATGCTGAAACATCCCCGATGGGTTTCCATCGCAGAGCAGCAACACGGGAATCAGGATAAGTCAGGGAGATTGGGTGTCAAAGTGCCAATGGAAGTATATCCATCAAGTCGATGGAGGTGTAAATTGGAGATTTGGAGGTCGTGGAATGGTTTCATGGCCGGGAAAGAGTGCTTGTCTCGACCACCTCCCAAACCCCGGAAAAAGTCCCCAACCAATCCCTGGGCCCGTGGCGGTCTCCGCCGCCCATCACGAAGAACAGAACAAGGGCCGGTCGACGAACCTGCAATCCTCTGGAAATATCATCCATTCTCTCAGATAGGCTCAATTGATTCCCCGCTGCTCATAGCTGATTTATTGTTTTGTATCTCAATTCGATGCTTGTGTAGCTGCCGCCGGTAGCTGCCCACTAGTCTTCTCCCCACCGGCTCACTGCTGCAGATTGTCTCCCCTGGCTTTGCCACTGCCGCGAATGCCCTCATCAGAAGGTCATGTTGTGGCCAAAACTGCAGACTCCATACATCTCGCACACGAGTGAAGAACTTGCCTTTGGGGCTAATCATTTAGCTCATCCAGGGGATTGATCGACAGTTTGGTACCTGTCCCGCCATCCATTGGCAATTAACGTGCTCCAGCTGTCACCTTCATTCGACCGCATCTCGCAACGGACAACACGCGTCACTCGGCCTTCAGCTTTCATTTCTATCAATCTGACTTCTTGTCGATAAGCAGTACGTCGACTGGTCGCCCTCAAGCAAATCTACCAGATGTTGAGACTCGCCCGTAGTCATCTGGGACGGACGTTCTGTTGGCTTCTGTTCCCCTTTTGAAGCCATATGCTCCTCCCGATTTCTATCAACACCGTGCCTTGTCAATCTTGCGACTACGTCACATACATAAATCGATTGTGGACATATCTCGAAAGGCGCCCGTACTCCGGCCAGAACACGACGGAGGGCACTTCAGATGCAGGGCCATCGCAGAGGTATAATCCTACCATCATGTCTTTGTTTCACCCAGTCTTTGTGCAGCTACTGAGGAAATCTTGCGTGCGAGATAGGTCTTATGAGCTCAACACATGTCGTTCAATATGGTCAACGCGTATCAGCAATCGGAAATCCAGAACTTTCCGTCCCACCGCTTCTCGAAACTCATGGTCGCAGTGAAACTTTTGAGTTAACATGGGGTAGTCTGCTGTCCACTTTCAGAACTCTTTCCCCGCAAAGAGTTAGGTCCGATATGGACTCCAGGTAACTGTCTGTCTGATGCACTTCCCAACCAAGAGCATCCCCTTGCGGTATTTATCAAAGATGCACCAACACCTCGAGAGCTGGTTCAAGAATGCGCACGATTAAACACGACCTGGCTGGGCACATACAATGCCAAAGCAGAGACCCCCGAGCTTTGGTCACAGACAGGACTGAGAGGGGGATGTGTGTGATAGTGTTAAGGGACAGAACGATATCCATGAGACAGGGTCATCATATTGGTAAGAGGTGGACAGCTTGTGGACATTGATGCGCTCACTTGGACATGAGTGGCCATCGATTTGTCCATATATGGAATGACCTTGAATATGAGCAGGACAAGATTTTTTCAGTTTGCTCTTCAATCTGTGAGAGCGCAGGGTCGGGTTGCAGAATTGAAGGGCACGAATACTAGACACACGCAGCTCTATGAACGCATAGAAACAGGCACAAGTCAGTGAGCTTCTAGGCACCAACACGGGCCGGCATTGATATACATATCGCACACAATTTGAATCGGAGGACATGGCCGGTGAGAGGTTCGCATCGTGCATCCTGAAATGACCTTCTCGTTGATTTGTTTCGTTCATGTTGCACTTGATTTCGTTCAACGGAAGTTGCGGCGGCAATCGATGGACGTCTTAGTCTGCCTTAGCGCGGGTCTCGGTTCGAAGCTGCGAGGTGGCCGACCCGACACGGTTGCATTCCATTCAAGCATAAGGCAATTCGATCAGGCTTGTTGAAGTGGTCGGAACGAAAGAGAGGCGCTTGCGCTTGAGGGAGTGTTGAATTTTCTCGTGGGCATCGTTTTGCGGTCACAGGGAGTCGGATCGGCGGGGATTAGCAGCTGTCAACTTCTGAACTGCCTTATCTCGGCCACGTTCGATGCTATGATTTCACATGTGGCGAATTTGTCGATCGTGTAAGAAAGGGTGTTTGGGGTGAATCGCTCAACAGGCCAGGGGATGCGTTCCCACTGCATTGCGCGACAAGGCACATGCACTTGGTCTCTAAGCCGCACTCACAAGCGTCGGTGGATCCATTGGCTCGATCGGATCCTTAGTCAATCTTGCTTCGATGGGCTTCTGAGCGTCGCGATATATTGGATATTCCAGCACTCCTAGTCTTGATGGCTAGCAACACAGCCAAACAACAACTAGGACCTTTGAAACGCCCCGATGAGCCCGAAGTGATGGCACGCCTTGATGCCTTCATGCACCCATGTAAATCATATTCGAATTCTCCCGCGCGTAAATCCAGGATTGTTGTCGGAGAAGTCTCAAAGCGAGACTCAGACCACCGCTAGAGCAAGTCTCCTCTGCTCAGAAGCCTCCCTTTTGTTCAAATAAGCAATAGGAGGGAGTAAACCTCCTCAAACCGGCAAGTACAGCCCGAAGGCGGGTATGGAAGATATTTCCGGGGTATGAGATCTCAGCTCCCATGCAGTCATAAGGAGCCGGCTTTGGGGGTGGGAGCACAACAAATGTTCGACAGACGGCCTTTCGAGAAAGACCAGATTGAGGATGTGAAAACGAGAAGCAGAGTCTGGCGGAGAGGCGCTCCTGTCTCTGTGATGGATAATGATTCCTGAGCCGCTTATTGGGCTCCGCTGTTCGCATGCACGGCACTTTCGACTAGGTCTTTTCGCGTACCAATCTTTGCGGTTGGCTTCTGCATTAATGACGCTCACTCAGGGGCAGGTCTTACCTGTCATCTGTTTGGGGAGGTTATGGTACTTTTGATGAACGCCAGGGCCGTAGGCTCGCAACAGCCTAGCTCTCGCTTTTGCGGTGAGATACGTGACTCCATTGCTTGTATGGAGTCAAGTCGAGCTCAGCTAGGCTCTACACACGGCGAATCTTTTTAGACAACCTCTTTTGTCAAGGTGAGTATTAACTTCCATTGGTATTGCAAATCAATCCGACGCCATCAGCGATCGAAATGCATCAACATCAAAGTTTTAACCACCTTCTCTCCCACCCAGGTCTTTTGAATACTTTCGCAATTTGTTTCCTCTCCTCCGATTGCCCGATCTTATTGAGCTGCCGTTATGGAAATAACCACCCTCGTCCTCGTCCTCTGTCATGGTCAGACTGTTCAGTCTTTGAAGGCCATGCGATCTGGCCAGGTCACGTTGTGAAGCATAGCCAATGCTGAATTGAAATACACTACAAATGGCTCGTTCTGCATTTTACACCTTCGGAAATATTATCCGCAGAACAATGACACGGTCAGGTCGATAGGGGCCCAGGATGCTTGTCCGTCCGTGGCCAAGATCCCTAGACTGTGTAAAGCTAGCATAGGGGATATCATGCGCTTGACGGTTCCAACTACATGTCACTTCCGCTCATTTTATCCCTCCTCCTTCATCTGATGCTAGAGGTAAGTCTGTTTGGATTGCATCTGCGTTCCTGACGCGGCTTCCTCTCGTCGAACGGCCGCTATCAGGCGAACCTGATTAGTAGGTAGGATGTGTTTGTTTCCAAACTCGGTTAGACATACCCATTTTCATCCATTCCCTTGCTGCCGTACAGTGCACAGGAGATCGCATTGCTCATATAGCTTTGACTGATCAATTTGCAAAACGAAAGTCTATACATGTCCTCGTTCTAGACCAGAACAATCTGTCCGCCTTGGTGTCCGAGGTGGCAGACTTGACAGGCCGCACTACAGGAAGCCTAGGCAATCGATGGCCTTCTTTTCCATCTTATTTCATCACAGTTTAATGCTGCTTCTAAATGTCACTTCATTCCACAGGCCACTCAATTATAGGACCCAGGCGGGTCTTTCGGCAATGACGCCTCAACAACCTTGATATCCTCGCTGCGCGAGAAAGGTTTCATCACACTGTCAACAACAGCATCTACCTCGAGGATGTGGTATACGTATCCATTGTTGTTTCTTGACTACGAAGGCTCGATAGGGCAAACGACATTCAGTTCTATACTGAAATTCTTCCTTTGTCTGTAACCTCCAACGAGTCCACTGCTTGGACCTTCTTTGATGGACGTAAAAGATCACAGTATCAACTTGCTACATAGCGTAGAGAACAATCTCCCTCCCATCCAGTGAGCCGATCTCGCAACCTTGTTTACTTCCAATTGAAACCCACATACCACAGCCAACCCCATCGAATACCAACCAACCGACCAGCCCATCGCCCCCTTCGAGCCCACATTCTTCAACCTCCTCACCTGCTCCCTCTCGACCGCATCCCCAGAGAGACCTGACTGAGCTCAAGTGATGAGCCAAGAATCCATATTAGCGAGAAGGTGTCAACACGCGACGACCCAGAAGTTGAACTCCCATAACGCCTGCCGAAATCCAAACAAACCCAGCTGCTTACCCACACCCCTTACTTCCCGATCCCCACGCATCACGTAGGCATGTATGTATGTATGGCGCGCAGGGTAGGTTTCTCAATTTAAAGCTCCATCCCCCGAGTCCAAGATCTTGTCGATACATCCAACAGAACGGTGCATCCCCAACCCACAGTCTGACAGCCCCAGACGTTCCACTCCTTCTACCAAACAACCATTCGTCACTCATTTACACATCCACATACACAACCATCAACAAAACCCCCTATCCCCGCCCCCCAAAAAAACCCCCGCAAAATAATCCAAAATGCAACTCTCCGCCCTCCTCCTCGCAACCGTCACCCTCCTCGCCTCCACCGTCTCAGCCCAGAGCCGTCCCCACGGCATCGACATCGGCAACGAGGCCTGCGTGGGCTCCTGTGTCCGCAACCCCAAGCTGTTGACCTGTCCCAAGACCAAGGTAGACCAACCTTCCCCCCCCTTACTTCGATATGCCTCGATCACCCAGTGCCGTGTGTGGGCTTGAGGTCGTTCTGCACTATCCTGCAACGAGTGGCCGTGCCCACAGCCCCTTTCCTTGCCTCAACCCGGTTGGTGGGTTCACTGGCTAACACCACGACAATCAGTACCAACCCGACCAAGGATGCTATGTATGCTGCTGGGCGGACGATGACGCCGATGCGTGGGCCGATCACGTTCACGATGACTTTGGGGATTTTTGATTCAGATCGAAAGGGGGGGTTGATTCCGCCGAGCCGTTAGGGGCTCGGTTCGATTGGTGTGGCTTTTGCTGTGATGTGAGGTGAGGTGAAAGACGCCCGCGCCGGGTGGTGACGGTTACTGGCTTTGCTTTTCTGGGGTATACGTATACACGCGCGAGGGCGAGTTTATGATGGACTGACTGTGCTGTATGTACTTGCGAGTCGGATTTATACTATGAAGGTTGATATCCTCAAGCGGGACGGTTTATATAAGGTCGGGTAGTCCGGTTTAATGGATTCTATGCTGTTGATTTCATTCGTGCTTGTCTTACTTATGTTGCTCGTGCATACGATGGATGATGGTGGGGCTGGGGGGGGTAAATTGAGTGGGTAATGCTCCTCCGGCTCGGGGTAGTGCACTTGACTTCACTTGCTATTCTGAGGCAATACTGTACATGAAGTGTACGGTGTTCGTAACAGGTTCTCAAGTGTCGAGTTAAGGGGAAGTGAGGTCTTCAAAGTGTTAAATGGTTCTGAAACCTTGTGCCTCCAAATGCTTGACATCTGCCGTGGTACCGAACAGATATGCAGAGTGGGCTCACTACTTACATATTAACTTGCAGTATCGTCCTGTCCTAGCTGATGCCACCAGTTCGACTCGCCTACAAGGCTGACGAAGAATGGTGGGCCAAGCCATGAGAATCTGGGGTAAGTCGGCAGACTTGCAGACCGATGGACAGCAAGCTACGTACAAGGTCTGAAGTATACATGTCCACTTTCAGCCTGACTCGCAGGCTCCACTGGTTCACATTCACGGTAAGAGTTGTGGTTGTAGAAGATTCACTTCGTGAGGTCTAGCTAAAATGCTCGTCGCTATCCGCCTTTTTACAAGCCCAACACCGGCTTGCTTATTAAAGAGTCTATCCCATAATATGCTGCTGTTGTCCATGTTCAAGAAAAAAAGAGTTGTTTCCACGCCTATCGCCCATGACATCGTTTCTCGCATGCTTTCTATCATGTTCCCTGTCCAATGATTGCAACTGGATGATAAAAAAAGAAAAAGAAGAAGAAGAATAGAAGGATGAAACCACTGTTGCAGTTGGCACGCGACCCAGGTGTGTATAGTTGAGGAACTGGGGATGCTTTCAAAATACTCAACTATGCAAGTACGTGAAATAGCTAACCTAGTGCTCAGACAGAACGCATAGGCACATCGGAGCTCACTGCACCCAAGGTCGTAGTCAGGGTAGATGTCTTGTTGAGAGGCTTATCATTCCACAGTGCACTGCTGGCAGGAAAGATGGACCCATCATTGGACATGTCAACGGGGGAGACGTCCTCAGCCTGCACATGGACGTGAGGAACTACCAGCTCAACCCCTTTGGCCGCACTCGAACTGCAAAAGTGCGGGTTGTGGCGCGGCGGCAACGGACGGTATGCCGGATCGTGCATCTGACTCATGTAATCCGACGCGTTGCTGCTGAACGACGACGCGACCGTAGACGGCGTATGGGTCAGCGAGGGAACGGGTCCCGTGCTACTCATGAGAGTAGTCAGGCTGGCGGAGCTGCGATGACCGAGCCCAGGGCGGCGCAGCGGCACACCACGATCATCGTTGTGGAACTGGGACAGATACTTCCACGCATCCGAGGTTGCCACTGAATGAGCACCGTTACCCATCGGTATTACAGGCTTCCATTCGCTGGGATCCTGATCCGTCTTGATATCAAGCCACTCGCCGGGTATCCGGGCAGAGCTGGACAATCTGGTGGAGCTTCTTGTCGGGGTCAAGGGAGCGACAATCATCCGAGGCGACATTAAAGGGGAGCTCGGAGGAGTCGAAGATGAAGACATGGAGGGAGCAGATGAGAAGGATGCTGAAAGTGGTTTATGGGAGTCCTTGCGACGGCAGCTATAGATAAGATGAGTGTAAGCATGAGAAACAGGATGTTGAGGGCGGATAGGGGCGATGAGGTGAGATTTAAATAACGGAGCTGTGCTCAGTGGCTGGCAAGTATTGTGCACGATAAGGAGATTCTCATACCTTTCACTACAGTAAAGAAGAGTATTGTCTGGCACTGTTATCTGTCTCTCGCACATGGCGCTGTTGATCAATTAGCTTTGAGTGAACTTTAGATAAGAGAATAGACAAAATGCAAGCCAAGAAGAAGCAATCCAGGTACATACCAGAAATTGAGGAAGCTGGCCGCCATCTCGGGTTGCCGGTCGTCTTCCACCTGCAAATGCTTGTTGGGCTGTCCAGAGCCTAGCTTTGAGATGGAATGATTCACCCAGGAAGTGCCTCTCCGATGTAGTGCCGGCCGGGAGGTCCTCACTTTAGTGGCATTCGAACCCGAGGGTGTGCGACGATGATGAAAAGCGCCTTGAGTCATTGATGGCGGTGAAGGGGTATATGTATAGGGCAATCAAAAAAATAAAAATAAAAAAATATACTCGTCCAGAGGCACCGAAGTGGCTCTATCTGAGATAGTTCGGCGGGTGGTACCTTGCGCCGATGGAGGCCGCGTCCAGTTGTGGAGCACGAGAGCTTCCCCTGATGGGGGCAGAGTATGAGGGATTTGCGACTAGCAGGGGGGGGGTCAAGTGCACAGCTGGACCAACCAGCTGGACCAGCCTGTCTCGGATAGTGGAACAGAGAGGTACTGCAGTCCCCGTGATGGTAATAATGCCTCGCACTTGTCCAGAAAGGAGGCAATGATTGAAAGCATGTGCTGGATCAATCCGACGGAATGACCTAAATACAGATCTGAGCGCCCTTTTTTTGTGTTTCTTTTTTGGAAGGGAACCCCAGCAATGAGGCAAATATGTAGCAGCCGGATTGCAAATTCTTTATGATGATAATGATGCCGATAAGCTTTTCAGAGTGTGTATCGGTGTATCTGCAGTGGCACGGCAATGGTCAGATCAGTCACAAAAAATAAAGGCGCAGTTCCACTAAAACGGGAAGTGGCCGACTTGTTGGACGGTTATCAAAGGCCTCTGAGTGGGGAGAGATAAGGGACTTTTCCAACAAGGCATAATAGATTTTAGCCTGATACGAGGAGGCATACATACCAATTTTTATTTTCGTTGTCTGGCTTGCAGAGAAAATTGAATTTCCTGCCTCCTTTTTTTTTCTTGTAATTGTTGGGGATAAGGGAGACCGATGACGATATTGTTCTCAGGGTACACCACACCGCACGTGCAACGGCTGATGCCAAAGAAGGGTGTTGTTGTGATCCCGTTGCGGGATTATTAAGTGGCGGTGATGGGTTATCGTGCAGCTGGCTGAAAAGTAAACCCAAAAAATTCGCTCGGAGAATATTGCGTGACCAAGGGATACCGAAATGAGGTACACAAGACACAAGAATCGTCGATGTATAAGAATGATGGTCGATTCCGGTCCCTTCTTGGAAAGTCGATCGATGGATGTATGTCCGATTGCCGATGAACCGATGGGAGTGGGAGTATGACGAGGGAAAGCAGAGGGAGGGCGAGAAGGGGAGGAGGCGGAGGAAGATATGGTAAATATAACTGAACAGCGGGGAATTCTAGAACTGAACTCTATCCGTATACTTGGGTAGAGTAGAGCAATACCACCTAGATGAGAAGGTCAGCTTTTCTTCCCCAAACGATTGCGCATTATTTCCCCAGGGCGAGGTGACAACCGCCGAGCACGTCAAAGTCCACCTTGGAGAGTCACGCCATTGCGGTCTAGAACGGAGGGATTTACCCTCCCCCCCCCGCGGCTGGCCTCAGGCACCACAGTCGACGCGCAATCGTGTCTTCAATTGTCTTTGGGAGAAGACCATTGAGCAACATAACAAAAATATCACCTGCTTACCTCACCACCAGCTGGAGCCTGGATGACCTAATTGTCCAATGCAAAGTGACAAAGTCAACTTAGTTACTCGTAACTGATACTCCGCAGTTACGGTCTGCACTGACGCACTGGGGACCGTTGCAATCGATCTCCGCTGGTTGAAACAGAATTTTCGCTGGATGGTCTCTAAATTTAGTACCTGGACGTTGTGACTGCTCTGGATCCGGTGGAGAGAATTGAGGTCAGACTGAAGGAAAAGAAAGAATTAGATTCCAGCCCTCTCCGGATCCGTTGTTCGCCTTCCCGCATTCTTATATTGGAATTCTAATCGGCATACCTACAATCGGCACTCCAGCGTTGCCGGAGCGGGGTACTGTACATACAGTAGTAAGTTACTTGGAGATAACCTTAGTAACTACGGAGTCACTTCCACCGAGCCTTGATTTCCTACACAATCCTAGGTAACTACTCTACTTGATTACTCTTGAACAAGTGTGATGACGCTTGGTTTTGGATTTAGCAGAGCCATTTGTCGGTTTGATTCCTAGCCCATCACATCACATCACCTCACCCCTCCAACCTGTCCCTTTCGATTTCTCTCTGGATTTTCCCATAACCGACCGAACCACGCTTATCGGGTCGAGAGGGAAAAAGCTCAACCCCTCCCAATCATGCTGTCGTATCCGGATGACATGTCGTCTTGGCTTCCAGACGATATGGTCTTCGCGGGGCTTCTAGGTCTGATCGTCAACAACCCCCTCCCCCATTCTAGATTGGCACCCTTCGTTGATTCGGGCACCCATCATCGACCGAGGGGCGTCAGCTGTCAATCCCTCCTACTCCACCGCTCTTGGTCTAGAGTCTCTAGGGCAGTGTCTAAGACTCCGAGTACAAGGAAGGGATAGACCAATGCTTTACGTACAAACTTACACATGGTAACTAGTGCGTCTCCAGCGCGGACTCCGTCGTGAAGTCGTCTCCTGCAGGACGTGAATCTGAAATTGCGACGACCCCTAGTAGGATCAGTGCGGTAAGATCAGCCGCCGTCTAGATCCAATGATCGCGCCATATGGCTCGAATGCAGTGCATACCGGTAGTACAACACGTACACGCCCTGAATACCTGTTGACCTTGGTGGTGGTGGTAGTGGTGGTGGTAGGCAAACAAGGAAGGTTCGAGACTACACTTCATTATGGAGTACATGCTTTATCTTTCCACCGGTTCATCTACCTTGGGGGTGTGACGCCATCAATACAAATGTCTGGAAGGGTATCTGGTGTCTATCGGTAGAAGGGGTACAGAAGCAAAGAGAGTTCGGCGGGGTCAGCCACAACAGGAACGCTTCCATGATTCCGATGCTGCTCCGATGAAAGGGGACAGATTTTTCATAAATAAGGACGACGAAAATAGCTGAGACAGACTTAGGAAGGAAAGGAAGCGCATCAACGGCTTGCGCCCATAAGGTCCACGGCGATCAACGGAGTAGACAAGGTCGGAGAGGAAATAATTGCCCGGCCGCCGAACTGGAGGCGATGTGGTCTATGATGCCATTGAGACAATAATGAAGAGTCAATGATAGTGGGGTAAAGAAAGGAAAAGAAAATAAAAGCAATTTCACGCTCATCAAGCGCACCATGCAGTTCTACGATAACTGCAACCACAATTCAAGGCATGATAGACGACAAGACCCTATCTCAATCACAGTCTGTCCAAACCGTGCCGCCTCCCTCATTTATGAACGGTATTTCTCTATCAAATGAAAACTCTTTGCCGGTCTTCCCTACGGTGCCGTTATGGATGAAATATACTGAGTATCTGACTCAAGGCGGATGGACATTCCCACCCAGTCGTTCCAGGAATCAACTTCCCTTTCCACTTGTCTGACGAATAACTCCGGACCAAGTATCGACTCATTGCACTTTCAAACTCCGAGGTCCACCGATCTCGACCGTGTCAGGATCTGTTCTGGACTTCTGACAAAGCGAAGCCACTTTCTCTAGTCTGAGTAGGTAAGTCGCTTACGTTGACCCCCGGGGAAATAATCTTTGACTTTTTGGGAAATTCATTGACGACAGCCTCACTTCACTTCAAACCTCCGCCTGCATTACCTAATGATGTACAGATTTTCAGTTTCAATTAACAAAAAAAAAAAGCAAATAGCATTCCCGAGTCCTGGTGACTGCCACAACGGCTCCCTTCCATGCTGCCAGTACGGAGTACATCGTAGTTACAGTATCAAATTAGGGTGCAAACGGCTATTTTCCCCTTCCCGTCCCTCCATCAATGAATATACTTACTGTATCTTCGACCTAAATTACTGCATTCAGCGGGAATGCCGATGCGATGCAGCCATGGCCGTGGCTGCTACAGTGCCTGCCTGCCTAGCAACTTACTGTACCTACCTACCCCTCCAACCCCTTGACCCTTTATCTCCAGATAGATTGCTACTACTCCGTACCTATCTTTCTAAACGCCCCAAACTCAGCAACTACCGTTCACATCCTACATAGAAGACAATACTCACATTCCACCGGGCCGCAGGAAGATCATCGCCCATCCACCACTCTCGCTCTCGCTCTCGCGTTCGCTCTCTCTAACTGTTTTTTTTTTGTCGGCTTTCCCGCGCCTCCCTCCCTCCCATCATCCCATTACTATCACACGCCAAATTGCCTCATTAGGGCAGATAAGCACCTACAGTATACAGTACCAACAGTACATCCTCACTCCAACCAAGCTAAACTAATCTTCCCTACCGCGCCGCCTCACTACATAACAGTACATACAAACCAAGGCAAGCAATTAACCTCGACTTTCCCACTCACGTTAGACGTTCGTTGGGCTCGAACAAACTCTAAACCCCGAGAACCCATTCAGCGTAAGAAAAAAAATCTCTCACATCCAGCAATTTCCGTCTCATTAAATTTGGTAACCAAGGAACCTTCTCTTTCTCTCTCTGCCCCTCGCCCGCATTCAAATCAACTCCAGACGCGGGGGCCGAAGGGGAAGGGGGGGAAGGGGGGGTTCCGCACCAATGCAACATCACTCACCCTTCCGTATGTACCGACTGGTACGGAACAGGAACCTTCAGGCTGGGTTTTTTTTTATTTCTTAGATCGAATTGGCTTGTCTGCGCATATGCACTGCAGAATCTGCGTTGGGTAGGAGGGCCGAGGATACTACATCACTATAAGTTGAAGTATATAGCACAGATAGGGTAGGTCTTTGTGGGGACTCGGCGGCTGTTCGGCTCCTTGGCCAGCTACCAGTATCCACCAAATAACTTGTGGGGTGGTGGTGGTGAGTACTTAAGTCAAGCGTGCTGGTTGCTTCTAGGTTTGACTGAGTTGTGTAGTGAGATAGCGGTATAGATTTCAGTGGAGAGTACCTCGAGTCGTTGATGTGTGGACATGAGGTGATTTTGTTATGAACGCCGCATGTGGACCGCTGCGCCTTTGCTGATACTAACTTTTATCATTCTACGACGTTGACTACTGGCGGCTTGATAGTGAGCTGGAAAGAAGCGGCAGCAATACCACACTACCCTACCGATGGTGACCAGATGGTCGGCGGTTCTCTACGTATCCACAATGCATGAAGTACCTTGATGGCCCCTGTTCGATGCGGGAGCAACTATGGTATGCATAAATTAATGTACTGCAACATGTTCACAGTAGACCAGGCGAACGCGAACACGCCTCGACTATGACCTGTTTTCCTAGCATACTATCGTGTGGTAAAGGGAGCATTGGTGGATGAGGCTATAGCAGCCAGGTGCAATCGCTCTAGGCATATTGTAATAATTGACATGGGTATCATTGAATGGATCAGAGTGTTATACAGGTTGAGGTAGAAAGGCGGAAGTTGGAGGCAGCTCAGGCTGCCATCCAATCATCGGTCAACCTCCATTGGATCTCCCGTGGCCGCCGGGGTAGGAGCGGATGCAGCAGCCGAACCAGGGTCAGGAGTAGCGGTATTCGAGGCCTCAGCTGCAGCTGGAGCCTTTGGTTCCCCGTCCGCTTTGGTCGCAGGGGAATCGTTGGTAGCCTTATCGCCCGCAGTGGGTGATGCACTCTCCTTGGGTTCCTCCTTTGCTTCAGGTCCGCCCAAAAACCTAGCCGGCACTCCACGTGCAGCCACTCCAGCTGGGCCGACATAGCACCCAAGCATTGGGCTCCAACTGAACTTTTGCGACACGGCGTTTCGGATTTCGTGATATGCGTAGGCGTTTGCGAATGGAAGAGACGTGTCAGGGTCTCGATAGCGGGAGGGAAGTGATGTGATCACACAAAGGGATGAGGAGATCTCTATCATACTTTTTAGTCTATTTTTCTTTCTGGAGGATGCATGCATTATGCGGGTCAAGGGGAAGGTTGACATACTGGTCAGCCTCGGAGGCTTTTTCGCATTGAAATAAATGCTGAACTCGCGACTTTGAGCCGTCTTCTCATCAAAGTTTTCCAAGATCGTCAGGTTGCGTCCCGTCTGTTCAATGACTGAAGGAGGTTGAGGGACCTCTACTTGTGGTGCGTCTCCAGTGACGACAATTGGCTGATTAGCATGCACCTCGGGAATATCCTTCTCGGATTGTGTTGGGACCAAGGCATCTTTAAGTGAGTCGGCTTGGGAAGGTGCTTCAGCAGCTGCCGGCACTGCAGTAGGCGAGAGCTCCTCCGAAGCTGCGACTGCCTCTACTACTTGGCCGGTAGCTGCAAGAGGCTCAGGAATTGGTTCCTTCTTTCCATCGCTGGGATTTTCCTCTGTAGGCTGTGTGGCTTCGCTGGGTTTTAGTTGTGTAGCTGGTAAGTCTACCTCAGGTTGTTTTGCGGGTTCGGCCGCAGAAGTCTCGTCGCCAGAGGGTTGCGCTGAGGACTGCGGAGCTTGAGCGGCGGTTTCTGGAGCCTTTTCTGGCTTCTCTGCGTCGAATTTCTCGACTTTACTCTCTGCCTTGTCGGTTTCTGCTTCCCCACCCTGTGAAGCCGTATCCTGAGCGGAATTTTGTGGTTCTGCATCTTTCATCTCTGTATCTTTAAGCTCGACATCAACGGGAGGCAATTCCGACGACTTCTCGGTACCCAACGCCTCTACGGGCGCGGAAGTGGACGGTTGCTCCGGGACAGCGGCTGAAGCTTCTGCAGGTGCAGATGCAGTTGCAGATGCAGATGCAGCTTCGGGAGCACATGGGGAGGCTTCGCCATCGGCATTGGTGGTTTTGCTTTCTGATGGCGCATCGGCCTCTTGAACTGGGCGAGAATCAGTTGGTGAGACTTCTGAAGGCTCGGACTTTCCCTTCACGGGGTCCCCTCCAGCAGTTCCAACTGGATCCTTGGAGTTTTCGGCCTGGTTGGTAGCGGGAGGGGCTGTTTGCGACGTGGCAGGCCCAACAGTAGCACCATCCTCGGTCGGCTTTTGCTCCGTCACGTTTTTCCCTTCTTTGTCCGACTTCTTGCTTTTCTTGCGTGTAGTGTCCTCCTTTTCTGGCTTGGGGGCGATATCGACTTTGCCGATCCGCGTTAAGCGACCATCGGCCCATGTAGCTATACCGCTCCAGTATGACATGACCGGGCCTTCGAGACGACGGTTCTGCAGCGCCTCAATCTTCGCTTTTCTTTCCTCGGCCTTTCTCTTCTCCATTTCCTCCCATCTGTTGAGACTCTTGCTATTGTGCCGTTCTACCCTCTCTGCTTCGGCAAGACGTTCGGCCTGCGTCATCTCCTTCGGCTTGAATTGAGCTTTCCGCTTCGCTGCCTCCTCCATGGTCGCTATGAGACGGATGCGTTTCTCCTCGCTATCTTTGAGTCGTGCATGCGTGAGTTCCTTGTTCTGCATGGTTTGTCGACGAGACGACGACCTCGTTGGCCCTTCTTCGGGGGTCGGAATCCACGAAACGCGTTCGGACTTCTTTTTCGGCCGGGGGGTAAGCACTGCGGGCACGGCGGTGGGATCGATCTTGACTCTCTTGGCGGCTATCTTATATCGAAGGTCGTCCTTCGCTCTCTTCTTCTTCTTATCTGCCCGCTCTTCCTTCTGTAGTTGCTGTTCGCCTTCAAAGTCGTCGTCCTTGGCGCTGGGTCCCTGGTCGTCTTCATCCTCCGATGAAGAATCAAAGCGCATATCATCCTCCTCGCCACCCATCTCCTCTGCATCCACGGCAAACTCATTGTCGTCTTCGACTTCTTCAAACAGCAGTGCAAGGTCGTCGTCTGCGGCAGCATCCAGAAGAGCCGACATGTGAAGCCCTGCAGTGCTTCTTTTGGCGCGTCCCTGGACGAGCGACTCGACCTGGGGTTCCTCCTCCACGGAGGATGGGGTTTCATGTTCGTCGGCCATTGTTCGTAGACTCGTTGACCAAAAAGGTGTCCCTCGGAGCAGGTAAAGCGAACTCGTTCAGTAGAAGCCGACCGTCAAGCCACGATAAGACGCGAGTCGGCTAAGGCGCGTCAAGTCACAGCAGCTTCACCACTTCTGCCATGCGTCTCCACTTCTCCCGAGACACTGATGTGGGTTGGGTAGTATATATAGAAGAACAGTGATGGCAAAGTGAATTTTTTGACTAGATCATGCGACTAGCGGTGCCGACAGCTGCGCTGCGGAAAGGCAGGCAGGCAGGCAGGCGGTGCGGAAATTCACCCTCACTAACCTTGTTGCCCCGGGCATCAACATCTTCACGTGACATGCGGTCAGATCCCAGATCCAGTGAACATTCAACAGGATCTCAACGAGTATTTGATTTGATACAATTGAACTGATTTAACTCTGACTCTGGGCAGAGTTAACTTAAACATTAACAGGAGCTCATATGCCTACCTGGTACTACACCTGAAATGAGCTTTTACAACAGTCAATTTCGGTAGCAGTAGGTACAGGTACTATGCTGCTTACTGATTGCGGTCACTGCATTAAAAAAGGTGCCACATGCAGGTGGAGCTCCTCAGCTCTGGGCTGGCTTGTGTTCACTGATACAAACCTGAGGCTGTGAGCTGTTCCCATTCATATACTGCTCTTATGTCAGTATTACATTTATTATACTGAGTAAAGATGAAGTTAATCGGCGCCTGTTGCTCTCTGTTCCTTGGTCAAGATATGACGAAATCAAAACAGAAAGGACTGACCCCTTGCTGTTCAGGACACCAAGCCCTTGCTTGCCATCTATGGAGTACTCAGCATATATCTCCGAGGGGAAAACAACTCCACTGCTTTTTGAAGCCATGACGAAGACTCGCATGGCCAAGGTCAATGATCTGATCTGATTTTCGAGCCTCTGGAGAGGCAGGGAAGTGTATGAATGGCTGATTACATGGCAATGTCTGCATTGCCAGTTTTTGAGATGATCCCTCGTTCTTGTAGTGAAAACGGTGTCGTGCATCCATCCGGACGTGGTCATCGTTACAAGAAGCCTTCTTGTCTGAACTTGCAGGTTCCTGGTTTTTTCCTCTTTTGAGTACATTGCGGTCCAGAAAACCATATCCAATGACGTCTGACGCAAGTTCTACTCGGCATTTTGTCGGGGAAGAAATGAATCGACTTCTTCCACTGTTACGAACCCTCGGGATCGTCTTTCGAGAAGTACAGCCGACCATTCGTCCTTTCCACGATGAACACTGAACAATATATGATTGAGACAGGAGATAACGATGCAGGAGAGCGAAGCCCACTGGAGCTCCTGAGAATACCGAGGTCAGATTTGGCGTAGTGCTGGATCGCTTCGATGAGGGCAACTGCGACGGGAAGATCATCTATGATATAGGTCTAATATCACTAATTGGACTGCCGCTGACCTCGTCCTTTGTGTTAAAGGACCCAAGTATCACAAGGGACTAATTAGGGAGTACTTCAACATCGAACATCTACCAAACCACATATCATACCCATAGATGCTCAGATAAGTTCATTTGAAGATGCCAGTACTGTGGCTTTAATCGGTGACCAGCGAGGCCGTAAACATCGAGGATAAAGAATCCTCTACTAAAGTCTTGATAACCACAGCCCTACCTATGTTCAAGTCCACGATCATCCTCACCACAGGTCCCACAAAGGCATCCACCAGCTCGCTGGGTCGGTAGTCAATGCACCCAGAAGCGACCCATATTCGGAGCTGGTCAATGCTGGGTACCCGTGCACCATGTTGTATACTAGGCTTCTGCCGCTTGTGCATCAGTGTTGGAGGGACAGCTCACTGACCAGAGGGAGGCTCAGCCAGAGTCAATCTCTTGTAGGTGGATAGGCTCTGACGACTTTGACTAACTTGTAGTCTATACCTTTGGTTAGTTGTGGTGATGATCGCCTCCCCCACCCAAGGATCAGCAGAGGGAAGCGGGCAGGTTGGCGTCCGCATATCGGAGGCGGTGGTATTTCCCTCTGGCCGTTCCCTCTCTCCTGGATTGATGTCTTTGATTACGAATAGCATAGGAAGGACTAGAATGGTAAAGCTCTCGAGTGGTAGCTTAGTGTCTTGAATACCAAGATAACTTGATTGATCATATGGCCACGGACAGAAAGCTCCTTTCGCCGCCTTTCTAATGACAGAGCCGATAGCTCAGGATAGTTAAGGATCGGCTTCATTGGTGACTAAAACTACTCAACATGACCTTGAGTCGTACCTAGTATGTTCTGGTCATTACCAGGAACCGCAGTTTCTGGAATGATGGGGTGCTTTCTTAAATCTAGCATGAGACCAATCAAAGGTGTGCTCTTTTATAGCGGCATGCCGAATACGATGCCATCGTATATCCGGCACTGCAAGCCTGAATATAAATTGGTCATCATAGAAAGACAGGTCGCCAGCCAGTCTGCGGGCGCACGAGAACCACATCCGTGGTCTCCCGGCTAGGCGGAACTAGCACACCACAAGGATCACGGCCATTAGAGAGAAGGGATCTGTTGGTCGAACTCTTTACATGTCCTCTGGCGCGAAGCACTCGGTAATATCTATTCTCCTCTGTACTGTTCTAGGTAGTCGTGGTATCGAGCTAAAAACATACTGCGCATAAAGACGGACCTTGGAATGCGGGGTTTTAGCATGTTTCAGGGCGAGCATCACCCGGTCGGGGTCAATCAACATCCTCGGTTTCGAGATGTCCAACACGCCATTGGCAGTCTCTGCTTGCTTTCTGGCGTAGGAATCAGCAGCCTATCATCTTGTGTACTTGTTAGGTGCCATGACGAACCACTCTTGGTGCTATGTTTCATAGTTATAGGGGCTGTAGGCCAAACTTCATTGTCATTAGACGGTGATCCTGGAGGTGGAGGGTAGTTTTATCGCCAGACTATCTGCTGCTATTATTGTATATTCAGCTATAGTGATAATCCCTCTTACTGGGAACTAAGTGAACTCATGTGTCTAAGAATCAGGTCTTAGGAGGGAATTCAGGTGAAACATTCTGCCATCTACTGTACAAAACAGCAGGGGGTCGGTCTCTTGCCCTGCCAAGTATGAGATTCACCACAAACACAACAATTTCAATAGGACAATGAATTGAAATCAATCGACTCACTGTGTTGGATTATTGCATGGTTCAATAAGCTTTGCTGGTACCTTAAGAATTCCGCAGTGACAGAAGTAAGAATCATAACTCCGTCCCAATAACAATAAATCCCCAGACCGGTTGAGCCGGCCAACCACGAAGCCGAATATATGACATGCCTGCTCTCTTCCGGGGATCCGGCAAAGTCGAGAGCCTGAGAGAGCGTGAAACTAACTCCCGTCTTTTCCATCCTCTGTGTCTCTCCCGCTCTCTCCGCCTAACCTAACAAGCAACTCCCTCTCCTCCACCATAACTCACAGCTTCTCTCTCTCTCTCTCTCTTCTTCCCATCTCTTTACTTTACCCCCTCCCCCTCTCCCTCCAACATCCACCACCCACCCCCTCATCCCCTTCTTCACTTTTCTATCTCCATTGTTCCTTTTCTTTGCCTCCACTCTTAATCTTTTCGCCCATCGTATCCATCTTTATCCGTTCCTCAATCTCCGGTCTTTTCCATTCTTGTATCTTTTTTAGGCTTCTGCCCGAACGCGCGCAGTTTATTTCCAGCCACCTCTAGTCGACCGACCTTCTGGATCTCCCGTTCCTCAACGGCCGCCGCGTCTCTTCTCCTGATTTCTATCAACTTTCCTCCCCGTCGCTCGAGTTGCTTGTCCAGACAACACTGCGAGTCTTTACGGTCGTTTCGAGCCGAGCCGAGTGATTTAGTGGGAAATCAATCATTGAGATTTGATCACGGCGGTAGATCGTGGCCATCGAATCTGGACACTGGTCTAAGACATTTCTTACCCGAGTGTCATACCCGTCGACTGGTCCCCTCATAACGGATTACGCACAGCTTTTCACGATTTTGCACCTCTTTTGCCCAGCTCTTGGCCTTTTGTGATCGTTAGAGCATACGTATTCTTCTGGAACGATTCCTCGCCGATCTACGCTACGAGCACATTCACACCGCTCAGCGACGCATCGCGTATTTGAGTATTCTCATATCCATACGCAGGATTGTTCACTGCCTGTTCACCCAAATTCCGGCGGTTTATCGCTTCACTTCTCTCCGTCACCCTAATAATCGGACTGGCATACGAATCGCGCGAATTGGCTCTTTGACTGAACAACAATTTGGCAATCCCTACGGAAACCATCATCCTTCGTTATCATCCTCAAGTGCGCTAAGTTTTAGGTGTTCGCCTTTGTTGAGGTGGAGGGATATAATACATAATGTTACCCGTTTCACGACCCGAGGGCCATATGAACCTCAATTATATTCCAACCACCCAACCGATGTCGGGAACCAGCACGGGGCGCAGCTCTCCTAGCGATCTATCGGGGTCTGCTGGTATGAAGCCGCCGTTCGGATCATCAACCGGCCTGAACGGTGCTGCAGGCTCCATTGGAAGTGCGAGGCTAGGGGCTGGATCCCCATCCCATGAACTCGGTGCACGTTTATACTCGAAACGGTAGGCAGTTCTACGTCCGCCATGAAGCAGAGTTGTATTTGAATGTCCGATGACTGACATTAGCCGCTCTTCATTCTAGCGCACGTGAAATTCAAGCAGAGGAAGGTGTTTCTCCCAGTATCTGGGGTCCCCCGACCAGTGGCCATTCAACCCCCCTGCGCGAGAACATCCCCGAGTCCCCAAGCCAAGAAGGATTTCCCGACTTAGTGCCCAATTCAAGCGGCTCGATGAATAGCACTGCTCGAAGAGCTAGAGCTGGGACCGTTCCCTCGAGGTTCTCACCCGTCGGTGCGCTGAACGAAGCGAACCTTCAACAGCCTCACATAGCCCAGACCTCAAGGCCTACGCCTTCGACCAGCCCTTTCCGTCCAACCGGGGTTACTGGCATTGACACAGGCGCAAAGACTGCAACTACCGCAGGCGGAAATAGCGCAGGCTCCCTCTCGCGTCTCCGAGCTGGCTCTATGCCGCAGCGAGCAAATTTCCTCGGAACTTCCGGTCCATTCGGGCCGTCTCTGTTTTCGACTAGCTGGGCAACAGGCCGCGACCGGGCTACGACACTCACAAGCATCCGATCCTCTGAGGGCCCGGCTTCGCCAAGTCATTCGTCCTTCTCTCGAGACGGTCTCGCCGATACTGATGTCAAAACCTTGGACTACCTGGGCCTTGCCGAAACCCCGCAACAACCGCGAGCAACACTTGTGCGGCCGTCAGTTGACATGCTTCTCCAACAGCAGCAGCAGCAGCAACAGCAGCAGTCTTCCCTTCCTCCGCTACTTGCGGAACTGGCGATGATGAAGAACAACAGCAGAATTCGTTCCTACTCTGTGAATGCCAAGGAAAAATATGCGGATGACGAGGACCTGGAATACGAGAGCCGATATGCACAAATCCCGTCAGGCACCGTCACGCCCTCAGCCGCCGCGACGGCTGCTCAGCTGGCTGCAACCCAGGCTCAGATCCACCAGCACAACCTGGCTGTGCAGGCCTTTGCCAATCACGCATCTGCCAGCCGTCCTCGTGCCCGGACAGCCGGAATTCTGGAAGCGCCGCCTCAGCGTTCGTCTATACGCAACTACCTGGCTACACCATCGCGTCTGGAAAACAGCTTCAGTGCGTCTGATCTCAACATTGCAGAAAGCGGAGAATACGATGAGCTGTCCGAAGCCGTGCAGCTGATGCATCTGGGTGGCAATAATGCTTCTAATCTCGGCATGCGCCCTGCGGCGGAAATGGCTGATGAGAACAACCAGGATGGGCCGACTCGCGCACTATGGATTGGAAGCATCCCTGTTTCAACCACGGTCACGTCCCTCGAAGCGATCTTCAGCATTTACGGAAAAATTGAGTCCACCCGTGTGCTAACTCACAAGAATTGCGGTTTCGTCAATTTCGAGCGCATTGAAAGCGCTATCCAGGCCAAGTCGTTGCTTAACGGCAAGGAGATCTTCCCTGGTGCTGGCCCTGTTCGTATTGGATATGCTAAGGTTCCTGGGAGCTCTGCAAGTGGCACTCCAGGGGTCAATGGATCTCAGTCCTCGCCCACTCCGGATCCGAATGCAGGCGTAAATGGGCCCGATGGCCTGGCCAGATCCGAGGGCGGGCTCATCGTCCCTCAAATCCCAGCTCTTTCGGAGCTCCAACCAGAGATGGCTCAGATCGTTCATGAGTTCGGTGCTGCTGAAGAGGATGCTCTGAACATCTCTGCTAGTGTTCAACGCGCCATTTCGTTTGATGCGTTTGAGGACGAAATCCCTTCGATTGCTGAACCTAGCCAGACAAGAATGTTTGATGCCCCTCGCCTCCGCGATATCCGCAAGAGGATCGATAATGGTGCCTGTTCTGTACAGGAAATCGAAGAGACAGCAGTTGCGATGCTTCCAGAGATTGCCGAATTGGCGTCGGACTATCTGGGCAACACCGTGGTTCAAAAACTTTTCGAGTTCTGTTCCGAATCAACCAAGGAACAGATGCTGGCGCCGATTGCTCCCCACCTCGCTGAAATTGGTATTCATAAGAACGGAACATGGGCCGCCCAGAAGATCATTGATGTCGCTAAGACACCAAATCAGATGGGGTTGATCGTTGATGCTCTCCGGCCATACACTGTACCTCTGTTCCTTGATCAGTATGGAAACTACGTACTGCAGTGCTGTCTACGCTTCGGTGCCCCGTTCAACGACTTCATCTTCGAGACTATGCTCAGTCGGATGTGGGAGATTGCCCAGGGCCGATTCGGTGCTCGGGCCATGCGGGCTTGTCTTGAGAGTCACCATGCCACAAAGGACCAGCAGCGTATGCTCGCTGCGGCCATCGCTCTTCACAGTGTGCAACTTGCAACGAATGCCAACGGTGCCCTTCTGCTCACGTGGTTCCTCGATACTTGCACGTTCCCTCACCGCCGCACTGTGCTTGCACCGAGGCTGGTTCCTCATCTCGTCCATCTCTGCACTCATAAAGTCGCTTATCTTACCGTCTTGAAGGTCATCAATCAGCGAAATGAGCCTGAGGCCCGTGAGATCGTGCTGAAGGCCCTGTTCTTCAGTCCGGGTGACGAGGTGTTGGAAAGAATTCTAAGTGACCAGACTTCGGGAGCGACTCTGATCTTCAAGGTTCTTACTACACCTTTCTTTGACGAGTCAATGCGCGCCGAGGTTGTCAAGAATGTTTCCAAGGTTCTTATCAAACTTAAGGCAACCCCCAGTCAAGGATATAAACGCCTGATGGATGAAGTTGGTCTATCTTCGCGTGGAAATGCCCGGGACAACCACCATGGACGTGATCACGGACCTAATGCGGACAAGCAACAACACCGTCCAACGTCTCGCCAGGCAGCCTCGAACTACGCTCCGCAGCCGCCTTTGGAGAGGCAATATAGCGCGCCATTCCCTACTATGCTTAACCAGAACATGGACGCTACCAGACCTATGCCTTCGGAACAGCAACCCGGTGCCGGAGCTTACGACCCTTATAGCATCAATGGAATGAACAACCTTGGCTCTGCCGGTGGTATCAACCCTCTTGGCGGGATCGGAGGGGTTAACGCACCCGGATTTGGCCAAGACCCCATGATGCCTTTGGCCCAGCAACAGCTACAGTATCAAGCCTATCTGGCGGCGCAAAGCCGTGGCCTTTCGCCGTCCGGGCTGTATCCAAGTCTCGGGAGCTCCAACTTTGGGTTTGCGGCTGGCGCTCCTTCAGCAGACAACCTCCGGTCCTTGCAGACTCAGGCTGCTTCCTTGGCCGGACCTCCCACCCAGCAAATCAACCCAGGCTCGATGTTGAACCAGGCGGCTTTCGCTCCTCAGCAATTCAGCCCCGTCATGAGCACTGCTCAAATGTATCAGTACCCTTCACAGTTCTATGCCCAAGCACAGCCAGCTCAGGCGCAGTCTGCCGGGGGCCGGCGTGGACGTCCAAGCCACCCCCAGCACATGTGAAAGCCCGGGACTCGCCTGTGTGAACGAAGCTGATGTGGGGTTGCCTCCAGCATTGAGGATTCCCTAAGATGCTTTAATCCGCCATTAACTTCAACCTTATGTATAAAGTTTCTCTCTTTTTTTTTCTTTTTACTTGATCTTTTGTTTGCAGTTTCCGGGATACAGAGTAGTATGGCTATATGCATGAAATGACCTTTGTCACACCTAGACCGACGCTGGATCGTCTTGGAAATGGAGGAAGGACTGATATGAGAAAAAAGTGCTATTGTTTATTGTTTATCCGAAGCATCATGGTGTTGCCCATGTCCATAAGCATTTAAGTGATTTCATAACCGCTTTGGGGAGATTGGCTCTAACTATCTCCTGTTCACTATAATTTACATTGGGTATCAAAACAGAGAGCGTCTTGCGATTTCCCAGTCTTTCATCGAGACCTCTTGTATTCAGATGTTGTATTCTGTACATGCGTGGTTGAGGAGCCTAATTGAGCTACAACGAAGATGAAGTCTAATTCGCATGTCAACAGCAAGCCATTTTTGGCTAGGCCGCCGCCCGGGTAATGCTTAGTACTGAGTAAGTAGTTCTTGTTGGGGAAGAGAAAATTACCGCAGCGTGATTCAACCAACCAACTGCTCTGGTCTAGACTATACTATTCTAGCTGATGTGCTTACGAGTATGATAGCACCGTCACCATCAGCTATACTCTATCAAGATCCCCAGGCCACCACCTTCTTGATTGATATTCCCGCATCTATCGCTCGCGCGCAGTCACTCTCCCCATTCCAATCATCAGCGCTCTTGCCCTCCGCAAGACCGCCTTCTGATCTTAAGAACGACAGGAATCGCACACTTCTCTCAACACCACCACTGAGGGTGCCATATCCGGCTCGTACAGAGCCGAAAAATGATGCAGCCCGGGCAAGAGTTCTTGAAAGGACCGCTCTTGCGGAGAGGCTTTTGCATTCCGAGATCCTCGAACCCCTTGTGACGGAGGGGTTATTCCAAATACGCAGGACGCTCGACTCGGGGTTTCAATGGTGTCTTCCGCGGGTTGAGATAGACCCCAGCGCACCGGACTTACCTCCCAATGGGGACATGGGTGACGAAGCTCCCCTCCCGAAGAAGAGGAAGGGGACGGCCGGGCGAACACGCAGCAATAGTCACGGGAACGTGGACGCTGCAATGACGCAGATCGGCTCTGCTTCTGCTACCTCCACTGCTGCGACATGTGCTTCCCTCAATCCCCCGTTGATAGTGTCTCCCGGCGTGAACCGCTTCAGCTGCATGTCAGAGCTCTCCAGCATCGTGGTCCGCAATACGTCGTTGGAATCAGCCACGGTGCACGCTACCTGTGCGGTGGATCTGGAGAGGACAGCGGACGATACACGATGCTGTCACAGGGGACCTCATCACCTATCATCACGCCCTATTCCTCACTCTTTCTACATTCCGCCACTCTCAAGCTTCCTTCAATGCAGAATCCCGATCTCAACGGACTCCGTGGCGAACGCAGAAACCCCCATCCCAGGCCTCCCTCACCACCGGAAGTTCAATCTCATTCTGCTTGACCCACCCTGGGCCAACCGCTCAGTCCGTCGCAGCGGTCATTACCACACTCAGACCTACCTCGACTGGGAGTTGCTCACCCAGCGCATTCGCAATGTCCTGTCCGTCCATCTAGTTCAGGACTCTCCCTCGCCCAACAAGGGGGAGAAGGAGGAGGCCGCTGAACAGTGGAGAGATGGCCGTCGCAGGAGCGCCATCGCAGCCATCTGGATCACGAACTCAGGGAAAGCCCGCAAGACGGCCTACGACGCGATGCAAGGGGCCGGGCTGACGGTCTGCGAAGAGTGGGTGTGGGTGAAGACGACGACGGAGGGTGAGCCCATCACGTCCGTGGGTGCGCTCTGGCGGAAGCCTTATGAGATCCTGGTGATTGGGAGGAGGAGGGCAGATCTTTCTGTCTCTGCCTCTCGAGGCGACGACGGCCATCTCAAGTCCCATTCCGCAGCAAAAGCCGGCGAGGATCGCATTACGCGAAGAGTGATTGCGGCTGTGCCGGATGTTCATTCGCGAAAGCCAAACTTGCGCGAGGTCTTTGAGCAGGTGTTTTTTTCTGATCGCAGTCCTCGAGACAAGGCCGGGATGCGGTATACGGCCTTAGAGGTATTTGCTCGCAATCTCACAGCGGGATGGTGGGCGGTTGGGGATGAAGCTCTGAAGTTTAATGCGGAGGAATGGTGGGCTGAGAGTTGATTCGATGGTATGGCATGACATAGCTTGGATTGAAGGCTTAGTCTGTGCGTATATTATCGAGGGTTTGAGGATTTATGTCGGGCTCATTCTCCCAGTAGCCATTGCATTGCCATTGCCAATAACCTGATTGCCCAATGTATATGTGAAACAAAGGACCACCTTTACCTTACGTCCCTGCAACCTCGAAGACAAACAAGCTATATCCCCATTATCGACCCTACATTGCGGAATACAAGAGCAAGAAACAAAATACAACCACCCCCCCCCCCCCCCCCAAATTCATCCACCGGAATCAATCAAAACTCGGCCCCAAACTCACCAAACTAAACCTTAAATCCGGATTCCCGCCCCGGGCCTCCACCTGCAAGAAGCGCCTCACCCCCAACTCCAACGCCCTCTCACTCAAGGCATCCTCACCGGGGCCCAACACCCCGCGCTCCAGGGGCCCCTTCCTCCGCCCATCCAATTCCCACAACCGTCCATCCGCCCCTTTCACAAACGCCACAAAGTGCAGATCCACGTTATCCTCCGCCCGCGGGGCCTGCGTGTCGCCCAGCCGCGCCGCGTCCGCGTGCGCGCTCTCCAGCGCCTTACTCTCGTACAGCAGATCCGCCCGGCGCCCGGGGTCCAGCGCCTCCGCTTCTTGCACGAGACCATCCAGATCCGATCCGGCGACGATCTGCCGCCGCGGCTCGCCGTTGGCGACGGCGTGCAGCAGGCCGATCAGCCCGCAGGCGTTGCGGATGGTCTGCTTGAACCACATCACGGGTTCGGCGGGGCCCGAGCCCGTGTAGGCGGGCAGGCCGCTGTCTTCGGTGATCCGGGCGGTTTCGTAGGTCGCGGAGACGGGGAAGACGAGGAGGAGGGCGTGCGAGGGCCGGGGCACGAAGGCCAGGAGGTCCGGTTCGTCGATCGAGTAGACGTCTGTGAAGGCTAGGGTGGGGGGTAGGCCGAGTTGGTGGATTAGATGGGTCATTACTTCGGGGTTGTTTTCTAGAAACACTTCGTGGTTAGCTCGGGGGGTATAGGGTATTTTTGGGGTGGGTTGGTTGGAGTGTGTGTGTAAAACGTACCGAGGGGCACGAAGGCCTTGTTGGTGGATTCCACGTCCGGGTTGTCGGCCATTGTTGCGGGTGGTAGAGGGAGGAATCAACCGGCCTGGTTTGGTTGTTTCAGATCTAAGGTAATTGCAGGTCTTGGTTTGGACGTGGAAATGGAGAGTTGCGTGGGTGGGAGAGCGTATGCAGAAGAGTAAGTGAAGATGGTTTGTTTGGTTGGTGAGGGGTTGACTTTCGGTGTTGCGGGGTTGGGAAAAGTCTCGGGGGCAAAGGGCGGGCAAAACGTCATCGTGCAAATACAAAACAAATCTTGGAGAAATCGTAGGACTAAGGTGACTGGAAGAAAAAAAAATGTCATCATGTCATTTCTAGCTCATAACATCAAATATCTAGTGTCGATCTATATGATCCTCATCTCATGCGGCCAGCGGCTTTTCCCCTCTCTTCAATGGTCCGTAGACGTTCGTCCATAGCTCGCTGGCTTCTCCAAGGAAGTAAGTCAGACTCACATCCGCCATGCCTGCATCCTCGTCACCGGAGAGAGTCTCTAGCTGAGAGATGAGATTCTCCAATCCAAACGCTTTCCCCGTGGCCTGTGTAGCGCCCGCTTCCAGCATGACGTTGACGACGTGGACATGGAAATGGTAGTATGTTGGCTGGTCTGGCAAGTCAAGCGACTGGTGTTAGCAAAAGACCGTCCAACCGGGGAAAAAAAGAAAACTTATAGCGAAAGAGTCTCTCTCACAGTGCACATAAAGCTTCAACTGATCCTGCTCCAGCTCCGGATACATCTTCACCGTCCCTTCGAGCAGCCGCTGCCGCAGATACTTCAACCACGGGATGTGTCTCTTCTTGAGATCGCGCAAGCTCCAGATATCCCTCCGCTGCACCAGGGCCAGCAAATGCAGCGATCCCATGGTCTTCCGGTCCCAGTTCAAGTCCGGCAACATCAGAAATCCATCATCATCAACATCATCATTATCATCATCAGCCGCCCCATTGTGGTGTCGTCTCCCCTCATCTCGCAGGATCACATCCTCCTGCTCCGTCCGGCCCTCGAGGATATTGAACACCCAGTTCAGCCGCCCTTCCTCGCGCTTGGCGCGCATGTACGGGCGGACGTGGTCGCGGTAGATCGCCGGCGTCTCGGTGACCATGCGGACCACCTGCTCCGAGTACTTCTTGATGTGGGAGTCCGTGCACGGCCAGATGAGGTTCAGCTTGAGGTCGGGAGGCTGCTGGCCGCCGGCGTCGGGGCCGGAGGACGCCAGGTACCACCGGTAGATGTCATTGTCGCCGAGGTTGGTGACGTGCGTGATCGCGGCGTGGAAGGCTTGGAGGACGGCAGGGGTCTCGGTTGCGAAGGCGGCGCGTTCGGCGATCAGGATGCCCTGTTGGCCGTCGATGGCGCCGAGGATGGCGATGCGGCGGCCGCTTTGGTCTGTAGTCGTTTAAAACCGTGTCAGTCCACAGTATAGAATCACGATACCATTTAGGTCATTTGATGGTGCGTTCTGAGTGAGAGGGGCGAGCTCCGCAGGTGAGGGGATTGTGGAGTACCGTACCTTGCTTGAGCAACCTGTCGACCTCAAACTTGGAGATCAGAGTCTCCGGGGCAGGACGGTCTGTAGTACTGGCCATTGTGGGAAATGGCTTGCAGGAATGACAAAATTGGGTTTTGGTTGCAGAGGAGGTCAATGTTGATGATTTTACCCCAGATATTCTTTGTTGGGCAGAATTGTGTTGGCGGTGAACCTTATCGATTGCTCAGGGATCGTGGGCGGAGATCCATTGACTATCGAACAGTGTACTCAGCCTCTTCTATTATGTTTGCAAACCTTGGTCGTATAGGGTTTTCATTGTGACATTTAGAGTTGTTTAAAAAAAGTGCAAATATACTCGTGGATAGAAGACGAGTCCAGAGAGGAAAAGCCCCATGCAATCTATCTATATATTGCTCACCCGTGATGCTGGTGGGTGTGTACCTTTCATCCTCCCGATAACAAAATCGACATGGTAGACATAATCCTAGGTTACCCTCGTTCGTTTCTCGGTTGTATGTCACGGACTACATCGTCTACACTGATGCCCGCCGTCTATTGCGCCATTATGCCCGCCATGCTTTCGATTTGCGCGTCCGCAGAATGGTGATCGAGCCACGTCGCGAACATGTTCGGGTTGACCCTGGGCTCGGGGTGAAGAATGCGGCTGTGAGAGGTGCTGGCGCCGCTGCGATGAGAGCTGAATCCGTTTGGCTCATTGTGGTGGGCGAAAACCTTTTGGTATTCGAGGGCGTCGCTCATGAAGACGGCTTCGGTTCATTGCTGGGCTGGCCGTGCATCTACAACAAGATCTTTAGTAGAAAACTGGCCAGAAATTGCATGCACACATACCGCTTCAGCCAATTTGATCCATTCCTCCACCCCCTTCACGAAGGCATCGTCCGCCGCGGGTACCAACTCATGCCCCCAAACCACATACTCGTTGAAGGTTCCCTGCTTCTCGAGAATCTTGACCGGCTCCTCCGGCTGAACTTCCTCAACATCGGCTTCGTTCTCATTGCGAGTAGGGGGCAATACACGGTCTGTGCTTGTTGCGATGACGCCTAAGATGTTATGAGTTGGGGGGCCAGGGAAGAATTTTCGCAAGAAGTTTTTGTTTCCCGCACCTTCATAGCCTTCTGGAATAGCAACCTGTCGACCCTTGAGCCTACGACCGCGGAAATATGCGATCTGTACGTCTTTTTCTGTTGAGGGTTCCCATCAATGAGCGAGCGAATTGCGAGTACGAAGAGCTGGCGTTGCGGCTCTTACCTTTCTCGTCGGCTTGGGGTTCCCAATACCGATTCAATGTCTTCACGGGCCCATCGTAGTGGATTTTGCAGGGGAGGATGTTCGGAGTGAACCGATCCGTTGACGGTTGAGTTCCAGTCGCAGACGACTTTGGCGCTGCTTGGATGGCGAACATGCTTGCTTTGTGAGAAGAGATTGGCAGGTGTTGATATGGTTTGCAGTGACTAAAGTTTGACAAGGTATAGAGAAGTCTCAATACCAACTTGAACAATGGTGGAGATTTATTTTTGAGTAGCAATGTTTGATTGTCCCTATTATCTTCTTCGATGATGGTTGTATGCTCGACCCCGGAGAAACGCGACGCGTTGCCCGCGTAAAGTGGGCGAACGGAGCGGAAGCGGAGTGTCTTTCCGTTGTCCACCCGAGTTCATTTATTTCGACTAACATAGTAGATCTTGCACCTTCATGCCGTATTATTGGGAGAAAGTAACGTATATTAGGTATAGTTTATTCATTTCTATATACTCAGAAAAGCCTTAGATGTTGAGTAGCTTTGTAAGTTAACCAAGCTGGGGTATATTTAAGACAGATATTTCTTGCCGACTCATCAGGATATTGTTGGAATCACCTCTTACGGTTCTTCTTCTTCTTTTTCTTCTTTTTCTTCTCATCGTCACCCGGTTCCTTCTCGACTATCACACGCACCGGCCATTTCTTCAAGTGTTCTCGTTCGAATGTGTCCTTGTCCCGCCGGTACAGGAGCATCGTCGCCTTCGCATCCTCAACACTAGAGTGGGCACCATCTTGGATATTCAAACCCAAAAATTCGGAAGCCAGCATCTTCAGACGGGGGGAGCCTCCGCCAGCTACCTTTCGGTAGGGCTGGTGTTTGCTGGTATCTCTGATATCGCGCTTGGGGTGGCTCAGAAGCAGAGCATCCAAGTCGTTGCTCACCGCGTGTCCCACGAGTATGCGCCCACTGAGAATTTCCGTAACCTCTTTTTGAACCTGCTCGAGTGACCGCGCATTGGTCATGTGTTTCGGAAGTATGCCGCTGACATGCGTTCGCCAGTCCGTGACCATCTCCTTGGGTCTGACATACGAGTCGTAAATCTGCTCGCCGTTGAAGTTGACGATACTGACACGCGCAAGGGCAGAGTCGTTATCGGGGTTGGGGCCGACGCCCACCATTTCGCAATCCATCGCAACGTATTTTCCTAGCTCAGCACTAGTCTACAGTCAGCAACCATATCTGAGGAAAGTCAAGACAGCAAATAAGATGGTAACTGACGTTGGTGAACGGCCTTCATTGACCTTGGAAGTTTTCGATTCCACGACCGCTGCGGCGGCGGAATTCCTCCGCGACGTTGGCTTTGAGCTATCTGATGCAGTGGCCTCTTGGCCTCCATCCTGGGCGGCGCTTTGCGACATGCTTTTCTTCTTGATGGTGGCTTTCTTCCGTTCGATCTTCGGTTTCCCGTCGGCTGCGTCTGTTCGGCGTTTCTTCACGGTAGCATTTTGCGTCTCGCGGTCCGAGATCTTGCGCTTGGTGGCGGAAGAGGAGGCGTTGCTTTGCTTTAACGTCCCCTGGAGTTTCTTCCAATTACTGGAGAGGTTTTTCAAGTCCATTCCAATATCAGATCCAATCGCTATTGCATTGTGGTCTGGTCAGGATGGCAGAGGGGAGATCAGGGAGAAAAAAAAAAGGATTCAGTTGCTGCGGAGGCAGGCTAGGCTGGCCCGGCAACTTTCCTGGACCGGCTTTCCCTCCCGCACTAAATTTTCGGAACAGGATCCACATGTCAGTTCTCGATCGCTGTTGCAGGGGGCTTATCGATATTGCCCATATCATATCAGCCAGCCCACCAGGATTCCAAGAGTACGTATCTGCTCATTTGTTTACGAACTCTCTATGATCAAGTAAGATAATGGCATATACAAATCTTTCGTGCAGCCTTGACCCATATTATGTGAAATTGCTTTTAAAATCCACCGCATGAAAACGCCAAAAAGGGAATCTATTTACAAGCCTGGAACCTTGAAGTCCTTGTGGGACCATTTCACCGTAACCTCCCTCTTGGGCTTCTTGACCTGTGTCACTGGTTTGCGAGCCTCCAGCTTGCCCTGAACAACCAAGGTCCGGAAACGGTCATCGAGCAAGTTGCCCTCGGGTTTGAGCAAACGCAACGAGTCTTGGAGCTCATCCGGTAGCACGACCTCCAATCGCTTCTCGGGAGCACTATTATCAGGTCAGTAAGCAAAAGGGAACGACAAAACGGGGAATGTGCGACATACCGTAGCTTTCCGAGAGGTCTGCGGCGCAGAACAGTATCATCACCTTCCTCTTCTGAAGAGCTGCCTTCCGACTGCTCGGCAAGCTCAAGTTCCTTTGCCTCGATTTCTTCGGGAGTGAGATTGGCCCGCGCATACTGCTCTTGTCTCTTATTCATCTGAGCCTCCCACTTCGCTTGCCGCTCAGCCTCCTTGCGTCTCTTGATCCTGTTCCTTTCAGTCTTGGTCTTTCGTTGCGGACGCTTCTTGTTTAGCCACTCAGGCTTCTCGTATTCGCTCTCAAAGCCCTCCCAAGCACTTTCATCATCCGATCTTACCGCACCATCGTCGTCTTTGGCCTCTGCGATCATCCGTTGTCTTTCTTGTTCCTTGCGCTCTTCCTCCAAGCGCTTCTTCTCATCCTCGACTGCCTTCTGGCCGTGCTCTTGTAGTAGCTTGTCCCAATCTTCAAATGTGGGGTTGTAACTCGTGCCGGCAGTTGGGGCGCGAACTGCAGGGATCGGCTTGCCGTTCGCAGCGAGCGAGATAGGAGCGTGCTTCAAGGTAACGGGCTCGACTTTCTGCTTGGGCTTCTCCAGGAAATCGAACTTGGGGTCGTCATAGCGAGTGGTGTCCTCCGCATCGGCCCAGGGGTCGTACAAGTCGGTTTCGGTCTTGTTGGTGGGTTTGCCTTCCTTGGCCACCTGCTTCAAGCGCAGCCAATCCTTCCGGGTAACCCAATCGCTCTTCTGTCTCTTGTTCTTCGGTTCGAGAACTCCGTCAGTGACCTTCGAGTTCGATCGCGTGCGTGTGTCCACCGCAGGAATCGCAGAGCGCTGTGCGATAATCTCCTCCGACTTCAGAAGTTTGCGCTTCTTCTGAATTGCCTTGCGGACCTCTGCTGAACCAGTGGTATCGATAACGAACAGCTCGTCCGAGGGCTTCTCCGCAATAACACCTCTAGATGTAAATGGCACGTTAGCGAGACTCCAAATATAAATAAGAAGGAAAGCCTGATAAGATTCTCGTACCCTTTAATCTCTTCATCTTTCAAGAGGCGGAGGCCTTCTTGAACCTCTGTGATATCAACATTCTTGCGCCAAGCCTTCTTGCCCTTGCGGGATGGCTGACTGAATTGCCTGGGGGCCTCAGTGGAAGCAGACATCTTGTGTGAAATCTGCTATGGAGATATGACTTGTGAGATCTTATCTTTTTTTTGGCGGCATCCTAAATTTTGATTTTCGGACCAAAAATCTGGACCCGCTTACATAAGATCCCGCGGGGAGGAGCAACGCTAGTGTAGTTGTCGCGCGCTAAGGCTCTGCGCGGCTATCGCGGGCAAGTGACGAACGCCGCCGCCTCAGGACTTGATCTCTCGCTTTGCACCGCGTTGATTGCTCGTCGGCATTCCCTATCGTGGACATCAGTGTTCCACTTGTCATCCCCCCTGCGCATTATTTTGAGACCATTTCCAGATTATCCCTGATATTTATCTCCCTTGGCTCGCTCCTGTGAGCCGCCGGACTCTTAACAGCCATGCCCGTCGTCAAAGGAGGTGTCTGGTGAGAGCCATTGCTACATTACTTCATGTCGCCGAACTCCCAGCTAACATGCTATCCAGGACCAACATTGAGGATGAGGTGCTTCGTGCGGCGGTAAGCTTTCCCTTTTTCTCCGATCGATAGACGTGGTGCTCTGGAGCTCTGAGCAATGCTAATGTACCGCTTTTTTTCAGGTGTCCAAGTATGGTATGAACCAGTGGGCTCGCGTATCCTCTCTCTTAGCACGGAAGACACCCAAGCAATGCAAGGCGCGGTGGGTGGAATGGCTGGATCCTGGTATCCGCAAAGTCGAATGGTCGAGGGAGGAGGATGAGAAGCTGTTGCACCTGGCCAAGTTGATGCCCACACAATGGCGTACAATTGCGCCCATTGTAGGGCGAACGGCAACACAATGCTTGGAGCGCTACCAGAAGCTGTTGGATGAGGCTGAAGCTCGGGAGAATGATGAGCTGGGCCTGGGAGGTCCTTCCGGGACAGAGGCTGCTGCCCCCAGTGCGGACGACGTCCGCCGACTACGGTATGCTGTTGTCACCTTCTCCAATTAATTTATCCCGCAGAACAAGGTGTTGACTTTTGTTTAGCCCTGGTGAACTGGATCCCGACCCGGAATCGAAACCCGCTCGTCCCGATACGATCGACCTTGATGAAGATGAGAAGGAGATGCTGAGTGAAGCGCGTGCCCGTCTAGCAAACACACAGGGAAAGAAGGCCAAGCGGAAGGCCAGAGAACGACAATTGGAAGAGTCGCGACGACTGGCGGTCCTTCAGAAACGACGTGAACTCAAAAATGCTGGCATTAATATCAAGGTCGTTACTCGCAAGAAGGGCGAAATGGACTACAACGCCGACATCCCCTTCGAGAAGCCTGCGGCACCTGGCTTCTACGATACCACAGATGAACAAGGTCGAAACGAGAGGCAACGGGAGATGTTCGATCCTCGCAAGCAACAACTCGCGAATAAACGGAAGGGCGATCAGGACGAAGACGCGGAACGGAAGAAACGGAAGAACGACAAGAATAGCAACTCCGCCGCATTCGCAGCTGCCGCTCGCGCTGGCCAGATGCAGAAAATCCGGGAGGCCGAGCAAAGCAGCAAGCGGAGGGCGCTTGTGCTTCCGAGCCCCCAGGTCAGCGAGGGCGAGATGGAAGACATCATCAAGATGGGCATGGCGGGTGATAGGGCCAGTAAGATGGCAGGAGATGAGGAGGGAGCTCGAGGCTTACTCGGTAACTACAATGCGATTGTTGGTGGGACACCTATCAGGACACCCAGAGCACCCCCGCAGGAGGATCACATCGCAAACGAAATTCGAAACATCAAGGCTCTCACCGAAACTCAATCGTCTCTGTTAGGTGGAGAGAATACTCCCCTTCACGAGGGCGGGGCTACTACTGGATTCGATGGAATTGCCCCTCGCCGCCAGGAAATCGTTACTCCCAACCCTATGGCCACCCCATTCCGACAAGCCAACGGCGTCGGCGCTACACCTATGCGCGGCGGTATCGGACCCGGCGCTACTCCGCTGCGGACACCTCGAGATCATTTTGCGCTCAATCAGGCAGAGGCCGGGCAGCTTATCGGCAGCACCCCCCGTGATATCAAGATGTACGAGAAGAATGCACGTCAGACCATTCGCGGCAAGCTGGCTGCTCTTCCTAAACCCAAAGAGACAGAGTGGGAACTTGAGGAACTTCCCACGGAGTCCAATGAGCCCTCGGTAGCCGCGGAGGAGACCGAAGAAGATGCGGCTGAACGTGATAGGAGAGAAAGAGAAGCGCGAGAACGCGCCGCCCAGGCCGAACTCAAACGTCAGACACAAGTATATCAGCGCGCCCTACCCCGACCAAGCGTTCTCGATATCGATGCGATGCTGGATCGGGTATCACATATCACGGAGCCCATCTCTGCATTAATTGCGAAGGAAGCCGCCCTCTTGATTGCCCACGATGCCCGCAAGTTCCCTGTTCCTGGTGCTAAAGTGGAGGGCAAGGCACGAAAACTAGAGCGACTTGACGACAGTCTGATTGAGCAGGCCCGTGCAGTGGTTGCGGCGGAAGCCTCGACATCCGGAAAGCTCGAGGAATGGCAAGAGAACTTTGATAAGCAGTGGTCAAACACGCATTCAGATGTTCTCCCTGGCCTTGCCAATTATACCGACGAGGAGGAAGACGTCTTCCAACAAGAGCAGCGCATGATCAGCGCTTTCGATAACGAACAAGCCTCATTGCTGGCCACAGCTGAGCGAGGAAACAAGCTGGAGAAGAAGCTTGCGTTACACTATGGTGGCTATCAGAACCGGGCGAAAACGCTTCGCACGAAGATCGTCGAAGCCAGCGATGCACTTCAAAGATCGAAGGATGAACTAGATGCTTTCCGGACTCTCCAAATCTCAGAAGAGTCGGCGCTCTCGCGAAGGCTAGAGAAGCTTCGAGACGATGTTGCTTTCGTCATGAGGAGAGAGCGTGAAGCGCAGGACCTCTACAAGAGCAGGAAGGATGAGCTGGATGAGCTGGTGACAGGCACGGGGGGCATGGTGAATGGCTGGCATTGAGGCCCCAACAAGGATACCTAGATTGACGTTTGACCTGGTGATTTGAATTTAATCATGCCCTACATGTACGATTTGTATAGTACTTCCTCAAGTCTGGCCCGGAATGCGCGGAGCGATGTGACCGGGCACACCATGGAATTGGTTACAGAAGTCGGCTTACCGCACAAATATGCAAAAGAAAAATTGCTTATGTGCAGTCAATAGTTATTTTGCTCTAGATGCTTCGTATATTCACACGTGTAAGAGATGTAGCATCCCATAGATTGACGGCGAACCGAAGCAACGTACCGAAGCAGGCAAGCTGGGGATGAACCAAAAGCGGATGGCAAAAGTTCAAAGGCGGTCTCTTCCGGCGCATCGAAACGGAGATTCCTCCCATCCCCTCCTATCAAGCCCCTTCGCGTTTTCATCACGAAACTCTTGCCCTTGAGCCCTATCATCTAAGAAATTGCCTTGTATTGAAAGAATAAATCGTCCCTCGAGCACCATGGGCGGCAGGGACGAAACCGGCACACCAGACCCTGTTGAGAAAGGGTTCGCCACCCTCAGTACCATCCGGTAAGCGATAGAATAATTTTTTGGATGCTTGTTTCGAGGTTTTCAGCCTCGCTTTCCTCGGTCGGAAATACTGATCAGAATGATAGGATCGGTGTGAAAGCTATGGTACAGAAAGTCAGTTGTCGCAATTTCCCTGCGCTTCACTTTTTCGCGCGGCCTATCATCACGTGATATGATGATGGGCTGTATACTCCGAGCCTTGGCCGGCAATGTATAGCTGACTTGCTTCCCCCGTCTAGGATGGAGAGTTACGGAAAGCGGAAATCTTGTCTATAAAGCAGCGAAAAGACGGCCCTTCCTTTTAGTATGCTCAAGCTACCCCTCCGCTGCACTTTTGCATCTTGAGTCGCGTGCTGATGACAGCTGCGCAGTGTCCATTATGTTGATTTCAACAAGCGTCTTGATGGTGAGTGTTCTGAGAACTTAGGGTGGACTCACTTTAAGGCCTGACATGACAACAGAGTGGATTGCCTCATCACGCATCGATCTGTCGCATGAAGTCGAATGGCCCCAGCCAGAGAAACCGGAGAAGAAGAAAGCCGGCCCCGGCAACAAAGCACCCAGCAAGAACACGCAGAAACGCGCCAGAGCCGAGAGCCGCGATGTCTCAGTCACCCCAGATCTCCTCACGGGGAAGAACGCCAACGTCGGCAAAGCCCAGCGTCCCTCCAAGGCGGGTGGGAAGGAGAACCGCGGCGATGAGACGCCGGCCAACCTCTCCATCGGCGGCGGCTCCGAGGCCGTCTCCGCGGACGGGACCCCCAAGCCGGAATCCGACGACGTGGACATGGTCGATGTCAGTTTCTCCAAAGACGTCAAGGAAGAAGAGAAAGCGCTGGGCCTCATGTCCCGCGAAGAGGAGATCGAGCGGCTGCGGACCAGCGGCAGTATGACGCAGAACCCGACGGAGATCCACCGCGTGCGGAACTTGACGCGACTGCAGATGGGCAAGTACGATGTCGAGCCGTGGTATTTCTCGCCCTACCCGGCCTCGTTCTCGGACGCGGACATTGTGTACATCGATGAGTTCTGCCTGGGGTACTTCGACAACAAGCGGTCGTTCGAACGCCACCGCTCCAAGTGCACGCTGGTGCACCCGCCCGGCAACGAGATCTACCGGGACGACTACATCTCCTTCTTCGAGGTCGACGGGCGCCGGCAGCGCACCTGGTGCCGGAATCTCTGTCTGCTCAGCAAGCTGTTCCTGGACCACAAGACGCTCTACTACGACGTCGACCCCTTCCTGTTCTACTGCATGTGCAGCCGCGACGAGACCGGCTGCCACCTGGTCGGCTACTTCTCGAAGGAGAAGGATTCCGCCGAGGGCTACAACCTGGCCTGTATCCTGACGCTGCCCCAGTACCAGCGTCGAGGCTACGGTCGTCTCCTGATCTCGTTCAGCTACGAGTTGAGCAAGCGAGAGGGCAAACTGGGCTCGCCCGAGAAGCCCCTCAGTGATCTGGGTCTGCTGGGCTACCGACAATACTGGCGAGAGACGCTCGTGGAGATCCTCATGGAGTCTGGACGGGAGAACATCAGCGAACACGACCTATCCTTGCAGACCTCCATGACCGAGAAAGATGTCCATGAAACACTGGTCGTGTTCAACATGCTTAGATATCATGTACGTTTTCTGCCCCCTTCCTTCCCCTCGCCCCTCTCGCTCTCATATCAGCAAGCCCGCCCACCTTCCGAAACCAACAACATACCCACTAACACAACCCCTGAACTACAGAAAGGCAACTGGGTCATAGTCCTCACCGACCAAGTGGTCGAAGAGCACAAAAAGCGTCTCGAGAAGGAAAAGCTCAAGGGGGCTCGCAAGATCGATCCCGCCCGCCTGCAATGGAAGCCGCCAGTCTTCACTGCCTCATCGCGCACGTGGAACTGGTAAGGCGGACGTGGTGCTGTGTGGCCTTGCCATAAGGTTTGCCTATGGTCAATGGTCTAAACAAGACTTTTCTAGCTCGCCAAGTAAAGCGAGGATTGATACCCCCTCTTCGCCTCCCTTCTTCATTTACGAATTTTGTTTTCTCGGAGTTCGGTGCTGCCTCTTAGAGATGATTTGCCTTTGTTTCTGTCCGGGGTGTTTGGTGATCTTATGGTGTTGAAGAGGGAACCGGGGTGTTTTTTGTTTCTCTCTAGTTGAGCCTTTTTTTTTTCTTGGACGGTGTAATTTTACGATCTTCTAGTCTATGGAGCAGGGAACAGGTGATGTTTCGCTGGATGGTGAGTGTTTTCCTAGGTGTTCAAAAAGGTTCAATAAATGAGTAGTAGTAGTAGTAGTAGTAGTAGTAGTAGTAGTAGTAGTAATGGCTCATTTGTTCACACAGCCAAGATATAAGCAATCAAAATTGCAAATAGCATTGGATGATGACCACAGTATATGTCTCTTGTACAGTACAGGGCATCTACGGTCCAGAAAGCTCGTCCTCACCTCTCCTATTTTATAATTTTGATATACAGTCCCGTCGGACTCACCACCGTAAAATGTTTAGTAAAGTACTAATGATACCCCCCCCCCCCCCCAAAACTCTCCTTCTAAACTCTCTACTCCCAGATAAACAACCAACCCTCTACGTCCCAAGGACCACGAGTAGAACATTCTGTTAGGTATTGAGAATGGGGGCACACTTTCGGAGCGAGTGCGCGCGCGCACACAAAAGCTAATTACACGCTTTCAGAAACGGGGTACAAAAGAACAAAAAGGGCCCGCAGGTGCATTCTCCCTCTCTCTCCCGGCTTTCCTCTTTTTCTTTTTTCCTTTGCGTGTACGTGCAATAGCCAACCCAACTGCCTATTGCACTCGACGAGCTTGGGAAGACCATGTCATGGTAGAACAACACGTAAGACAAGGAACCTTTTCCATACAAGTAAGTCGTTTGAAGTGAGTTTTCAGGCTGGGAGAAAAGAGTATGAGTGGGAGGGAGAAGAGTGGAGGGCAGAATATGGGTTGAGTGTTAACATATGGATGATGAGGGAGATAATCGGTGAGTTTGTTTGCGGACTCGACCCAGAAACCATGAATGAGGTCGAGGGGTGGGAGATGACACAGGACCAAGAGATGCGGAGGAGGTTGGAGATGAGAGAGAAAGAGGGATGAATAAATGGACATCCATGATTCATGCCAAATGGAATAATGGCAAGGGAGAGAGTGGTAGCAACCGCCGCCGCATCTTGCCTTGAAAAGAAGCCGACATCCCATCCCGCGCTCGAAGATCAGTATGTTACTCTGAAATAGGTACTAACAAGGTATAGCGCCAGGGAATATTGTACGGGCAAAAGAAAAGGAAGATTAAAGGAGTACTAAGAATTCAGACCGAACCCAGACCGATCAACAAATCCCCCGCAGGCGTAGCTCATCAATACCGAAATGAACGCTCAATGAACATCTGGCAACCAGCAAAAGCGAGCGAATTGTTTTTTCCAAAAGAACCAGGTTACTGAGACCCACTGAGTGTGCGAGGGCCCCAGGACGCATTTCGAGATTGACGTCGTGGAGAACTGCCGCCATTCGTCTGCTGAGCAGAGGTGGGCTTCTTGGAGACTGATCCTCCGGAGGCCTCACGTGGCTTCGTATTCTTACGAGGTTTGTAAGTCGTCGAATTGCGCGGCCGGGGGTTGGGCGTTCCCATTTTCTTTGGAAGGGAGATAGTCTTCGCAAGAATAGCGCCCGGAAGCCGGATCGTAGCGCGAATAAATCCGGAGGGGTCTTTGTCATGGAAACCAACTGAGAACGGCTCAATGCTATGAATTTGCATCGACTTCAAGTTCTTGGCTCGTAGCTTCGACTGCGTGGGTGGTAAGGCAGCTTGCCATGCTGCCGGAGGAGCGTGGGTTGGCACTCGCACAACTGGCAGAGACCCCACTTCGCGATCTTCGAACATTTCCTCGGCTTCCTCTACTTGCTTTGCAGTTATCTCCCCGTCGCCGATTGTGAGCTCAACGTTAAAGGGCAGAGAAACCGAGACAGCAGCAATATGGAGTTGAACATCGAGAGGCTCCTTCGTCGCTGATGTGACTGCCAGAGCATTCCTCTTCTCCGGCACGGTCTTCTTGCCGAACAAAGTATTAATCTTTTCCTGCCAGGAAGTCGCTGTCGAACCATGTTGCGGGCCGGTGCGAGGGGGTGCAGCAACCATTGAGGCGAAAGTTGGCGGCGGTGGCGGGGGTGCGACGATCTTCGGGGGGAGCTTGACTATAGGCTTAGGTGCTGGGAGATGGACCAAGGGTCTGTTGCAATCACCTGTGTACACCGGATGGCTGGACATTTCTTCAGGCGGAGGTGGGGAAGGGCTTCGATAGTACTCGGCTTCATCAGCCATTGGCTTTCGAGGAGTCTCTGTAGCCTGTGGGAAGAAGCGTGAACTACGCACTGGAACACTACCAAGAGGGCGTGCGTGCGTATCTGCAAAAGGAAGATTGCCAACGGGGTGATCAAGCCCCGGAAGAGGGTTCGCAAGGGGAGCGTTATTCTCGTTCGACCTCGCAATCCCAACCACCTGTCTCTGTCCAGCCTGGTCCCCGGTGCGGACTTGACGCCAGGTTTCGTTGAATGTGACCTGAAGCGACGAAGGCCCTTGTGGCATGGCATTCATTTCGTTGAGGATCTTATCGTTCTCTTCTGCCTCACGCTTTGAAGCAACCGCATGGAAATTGTTCCAGGCTGCAGTACCAGGAGCACGGTTCTCATGCTGACGATGATGAATATGCTGCAAACTGGGAGGACCAATGGGGCCTGGCCGCCCAATAGGGTTGATAACCTCGTAAGGGACATGGCGAACCTCGGGCGATGGTAGAGGTGATATCGACGTAGTTTCTTGCGGAGACCGCGCAGGCGCGGAGAAGGTCTGTGCTGGTGCAATGGGCGGTTGATCCAAACCTAGGTGACTGCGGAGTGAGATGTCTCGTGCTGGGAAACCCCCAAGGCCCTGTTCAAAGATCCCGTTTCCTAAGGTTTTATCACTGCTGAGAGGCTTCCAAGGGTTTGCGATTGGAGGGGCAGTGTTCACGAATTTGGGATTCGGTGACCACGGCAGATATGAGCTAGGAGGGTTGATGTTGCCCCTCCACTGCGGGTTCTGCTCGTCAATTTTAGCTTCTGGGAGTTGATCAGACGACGGAGCCGGGACATCGTTGCTCTGCTGGATCCCATTCGGCAAAGGCGCCTCTTGCTTGGGCTCACGAGCCGGTGAAGATGTGCGTCGCACACCAGCAGTGGCAACAGGTTTCTCCGCAGCTCTTTCCCTCTCGACGAGCTTCTTCACAGTGTCGGGGTGGTGAACTTTCATCATTCCATACTGCTTGGGTTCCCCACTTGGCTCAGGAACAGGAGGCTTCGGAGGGGAATGTAGCACATGTGCGGTAGCTTGTTGAGCATTAGCTTCATTCTTTCCAGTGTCAACTGATTCTCTGCGTATCGACTTTGGTTTCTCTGGTGGAGGACCAAGCGCCTCGAGCTTCTGCCGAATCCGTTCACGCTTTGCAGCTTCTTCTTCCTTCTCCTGATCAAGCCTCCGCTGGCGAGCTTCCATTCTTTTCTCCTTCATGATACGTTCTTGCATTGCTACAGGGTCTTCCTGAGGCGCCTGCGGCACTGTCGTCTGCTCATCGACTGCCTGACTCACATCGGTAGGCGCAGTGGTATTTCTGTCTTGAACATGCGTAGGACCCCGCGCAGAATAAGGGCCAGCGCCACGTCGATCAGGAGAGATCTCACGGTGAAGAATGTCTCTAGGTGCCTCTCTAATGAAGATAGATGGATCAGGCATCCCATTGACTTGAGAGCCCCTTCTAGACTCGAATGCTTTGTGAACCACGTCAGGTCGACCTATCGACATCCGACGTCCAAAACTGCCGCTTCCACCACTGACATTGGAAGATGTTCGGCGGCGCGTCCGGTGCACACCATCTTGGCCACTCGAACGATGCGTCTGGAATGCCGCAGAAGGCTCTGCCGGGCCAGCCTGATCGCCTTGTGCTGGTCTCTGAAGTACAGATGGTGTGCGGAAGGGTTGCTCAGCACGCCATGGCCCTTTCCTGGTGTCAGGAGCAGGCTCGTAACGTCCCGATCTAGAGTTGTAGAGCTCGCGTGTTCCAGACTGCATTTCTCTCCAAGATCGGTTGAAATCATCGGCTGCAATCTCCTTCGGAGGCAATGGCCCGCTGAGACTATCGGCAACATGGGATTCCCTGACCGGGAGGCGTATAGGTGGTTGAACCTGCATTGGGGGCATCACAGGTGACACTTTCTCGACCGGGGGAAGGGGAGCCCAGGGTGACTTGGCCGGAGGCGGCGCCGGACTAGTCGATAGCAGGGGAGATTTGTCATTTGGTCCCTTTGCGACGATACTAGCGCTCTTAGCTTGTCTTTCGGCGTTCGCTCCAAGTCGTAAGACAGTCGGATTTGGACCAACTGACGTTATGGTTTTGGGAATATTTGGAACAGGCTTCGGGAGTTCTTTTGGAGGCGCAGCTTGCTCGACCAGAGGGAAATCCTTTTGGAAGTCTGCGACGGCCTTTTCTTGAGTCGGTATCGGCGCTGTTGTGGGAGGCTCCGGGTGGGTAAGGTTCGTTTTCGTCCCGTCAGTCCATTCAATTGTCTCAGGAGCCCAGTCGTCTTCGTCGTCATCGATATCTGCCCATTTCGATTCCGTGCCCGCGCCGTCTTCTTGAATTCTAGAAGTCATGTGGATGCCATATTGTTGCTTGAGTTCCTCGTCAGTCAGGTGTTTAGGGGGAGTTTGCTGAACCGCTGAATGCAAAACAGTGTTAGCAAAGGATTAATAAAAGCATGTCGTATATTGAGCCTTACGTCGATTTTTATTCCAAACCTGATTTGGATCCGGTCCGCTACCGCCTGCTTTGGAAGCGCTCGTGCCTGATTTTGATAACGAGTCCCGTAGGCTGCTAGTGGACTTTACGACCAATCGGGGTCGTGAGGTCTGCTGCGGCGTACCCAGGGGAGTTGTCAGAGTCGAGGAGGGGGCTGTGCGCCGTTAGAACATAGATTCGACGAGCAATTTTATTCGAGTTAGTTACCTTTCTCGGAGGGCTTGCTGATGGGAGGAGTGCCAGGCGCCTTGGGAACTGAAAATTTGGCAAAAGTGACCGGCTTAAATGACGTCGGCTTCTTCGAACCGGCACGCGCATGGAGTTTGCTCTCAGCACGACTTGCGTCGGACTCAGAACCTCCTTGCGAAGCTGTGTCCTCCCCAATATCCGACCCAGATGTTACACCGTTCATTTCTAGCGCTCGTGCTGCGACCGGCACAGGAGCGTACTTCGAAGTGTCCTGGGTCTCATTCAGTATGCTGTAGGTCGCGACACACGCCTCAAGTTAGGCCACTCACACTCGGCGGTTGTTCAGAATCCTCTCCTTTCCCGTGTTGACCTGAGGGCTCTGCTGCTGCACCCGTCTTGCGTTCACCCTGTTGAGCATTCGTCCCCGTCTCGGCTCGTATCGTTGTAGCGGTATCTTTCGTCTCCCCCGCGTCCCCTCCAACAGGTGTCATGTCGGCGGTGCTCGCAGGAACGTCGGAAGGCGAAGGATCGCCGCCCGACAGGGTTTGGTTTACCACATCGTGGTTACTCTGCTCTGCCATAACAATTCTCGAGTCTGTGAGGCCAACAGGTTGCGACATCTGTTAGACAAGTGTTCTGAACAGGTAAATATGGAAACAAGAGGCGGCTGAGATCCGAGAGTCATGGATACATGCAAGGAATGGTCTGAGGATATACCTATTGTCAGGTATCAGAGATCGCCACGGTTGGACTTGCTAGCTCAACTATTTGAGCGGTAAAAGCTCCGAACGACCAGGTGGACGGCGGAGAGGGGACCAAGATCAGCAGAATGGCTGGAAAGCCGTGAAAGATAGGAAGGCGGAGGAAGGGCAGGCGTATGAGAGCTTGTAGAGTGAGAAGTGAAAGCTGCTGCCCAGGCAGACCCGTTAAGGGGGGGGAGGTTGCGATAGAAGAGGTGGTGATGCTTGTGAATGATCGGGTGATGGCTGCTGCAGTCATTGACGGTGACTTGACGGGACGGTTCAGGTTGAGGCACTAGGGTGGCTGTTTTCGGTTAGCGCGGCCACCTCCCGCAAACCCTGTGGCTGGAGCCGCGTTGGAGCCTTTTGTTGCCGCCCGCATCGGATAGATTCACTCGGTGCTACAACACCTTCAGCCCCCAGTGTTAGCAACTTACATCTCACACTGTTTATGTTGATCATGATTTGCCGGTTACATCGATGCTCACTGGCTGCGACCTCTCACAAATATTGCATTGCACAGTATACAGAGATGCACTGACCGACGATGAGTTCAAGTAGTCTCTTTACCAGCACGACACCTCCAGGCTACCTAGCACCGTTACCGCATTTGGGCAATCTAAACCACAGAACCATGACACAGAGCTTTAACCCAGGCGGCCACGCTGATTCACCTAATATAAGCTTTTGATACGGTCGGAGGATGCTTTCGCAACAACAGCCGTCTTGCTGCCCTTGCTACTGGGCATTGACTGAAACTCGAGGCTTCAGTGAAGGCTCGGCTGAAACCCACAGTGCACTACTAAATTCTCCTTCTCCTTTCAGACTATCAAAATACTCATACCCAATCGGCCGCGGGTATCGTTACGTTGAACTATTTTTGAGCGGGTCGAAAGCAGATCGAATGGTGGTCCTTCATAGCTCATGAACACCGTACGCTATTAAACCGTCACTTAATCTGTATGATCACCGCGAATCACCAGCGCTTTGCTACTCTTGAAAGTAGAAACCTAAAATTCGACCTGCGATCACAAGGAGTTCGTCCACGCGCGAAACAGAATGAGGTCTCTCGTCCAATCCATGCGAACTAGGCCCATTTTCGAAGACATTCAAGAACTGCATTCGCTGCAGTGTTCAAATGACTTCGAATTAGATCAGGATAGACAGTACCGATTAGAAGACGTCTCAGAGATAATGAGGTACTCATAGAATGCTTTGCAACAGTGGAGTGCCAAAATATTTGGTCGGATCAACTTCGATACGATCGGCGATCCCAAGAGTCACAGCTCATGATGTAGCCAGGGCATAAAACATACTAGACGTTAACATCGTTAGGGTTCTGGATGAATCGAGATCCACTACTCTAGCCTACTTAGGGGCGACGGTGCGGCGCCGATAAGAGATCCGGGGTGACATCACCGGTGCGAGGGTCATTTCCCCATGAAGGCTGGGTGCGACTGGGCTACAATATGACTACGTGAACAAAGATTGCAAGGTACTAGAACTACAATAATATGGAGAGCGCACACGATTGGAGGAGCTTTGGATGAGGCGCTGGCCTTACAGGGCGTATCGGTACAACGACTGAGTATGCAGCGGTTCGGGTATCCCAGCATAAGATCGGGCGTTGGCAATCCGATGACATGACAAAGACGATATTGACCTCCAACAGAGCAGAACGTCGGAGATGAATTCGGGGGTGTGGAATTCGTCGGCTCTTGTCTTGTGATGGCGGGGCAACCGCCAGCGGTCCTTGTGAAGACGTGCGGAATAAATTCATGGCAGCTCGGCGATGGGCGCAGGTTGTGTTGGAGTGCTTTTGAACAAGGAAATGAAAATTTTGTTTTTTCTTTCATTCAGGGGAATCTATGCACAAGATCAAGGTGTGCTAGTACACCCGGGAACCCTGCTTCATCTCATCTTAATGCAAAGGTTAACCCCCAGATGCAAAACCCAGAAACACCAAGCAACCGCAAACGACCAGATATCATTCGTTTAAATGTGGGTGTCGTAGGGGATGGGGGTGATGGTCTCGGGGGCGGAACCCTCAACGGTGTGAGCCTCGCGGGGGCCGACGGGCTGGCGCTTAAGGTGGAGGTGGACACCCTGCTCCTTGGCCTGGCGCTTCTTCTCGGCGTTCAGCTTGACGCGCTTGATGAAGTCCTCGCGGGAACGGGAGTGCTTGACGTGCTCGATGCGGACGTTGATGCGCTTCTCCATGTAGCGGTTGCCGACGACCTTGTAGAGGAGGACACCGACGGAGGACTTGGTGACGTTGTAGACAACACCGGTCTTTCCGTTGTAGACCTTGTAGGGCATACTATTCCAAATCTCAGCAAAAACCATTCGATCACGTTGGCGGAGGCAACCAAGCCAAGTCGTTCTTTTCGGACTCGTCACGGCTGGATCGGGCGGAAAATTGGTACTGACCCCTTCTGAACGGCACCGTTAACCTTGACATCGACGATGTCGCCAACCCTATATCAAAACTATCAGATCCTGCAAATCACGTATATACCGGTGTTTTCGGCGGAGGGAAAAAAGATCGGGCGTACCGGTAGGTCTTCAGGTAGGTCGACAGGGCGATCTGACCCTTCTCCTTGAAGTTGCGGCTGAAGGCATACTGAACGATAATTTGTGGTCAGCGCGTGCGTCCCGACCAGCGAAAATTGGCGATGCAAAAATCCTGCAGATATCGACATACCCGAGTGCCGGCTCTCAAACCGTGCGAGTGACCCATTTCGGCGGTGTTGGTGGTGCTGGTGTTGAGAACTTGTCGACGTCGAAAAAGTGCCTCACTCTGCCGCCCGTCGCGATGGTGTAGACTTGTTCGGGTAGTTAGTGTGCCCGTTCTCCGCCGCCGAGGGCTAGCCCTCGCACTAATCCAGATGCGGCTCCACCTTCGCTCGCTTAGTCTCCATCTCCAAAACGCTTCTTCATCATCCTGAACGTCTACGATTCTCGTGAAGTTCGGTAGCACGACAACATCGCGACAACGCGCAATCAGCAGTCATGGCCCCCGTCCCGTGAGTATACGGTCTACGATGAGAACTCGAGATGTCGCATTTTCTAACTCGAATTGCTGCGATGTAGCCGCGTTTACTCCAAGACCTACAAGGTCCCTCGTCGTCGTAAGTAGCCTTATCAGTTTGGGATCGAAAAAAAGAAATCTCGATACATATGGAAGTTGGTCATGTGCTAATGTCGATATAGCTTTCGAGTCGGCCCGTCTGTTAGTACTCTCCGGCCACTGATCAGAAGCGTGCTTCTGTTTATGTCGTGTGTTCCTGTGTCTAATTATGCTATAGTGACTCGGAACTGAAGGTTGTCGGCGAGTACGGCCTGCGCAACAAGCGTGAGGTGTGGCGTGTCCAGCTCACCCTGTCCAAGATTCGTCGTGCTGCTCGGTATGCGACCCGCCACCCGATCATAATTTTCGAATGCGACCGCGCGATCCAACTTCGACCCAAGCGCTAACCATGACTTAGTGAGCTCCTCACCCTCGACGAGAAGGACCCCAAGCGTCTTTTCGAAGGTAACGCTTTGATTCGCCGTCTGGTCCGCATCGGTGTCCTCGATGAGTCCCGCATGAAGCTCGATTACGTCCTTGCCCTCCGTGTTGAGGACTTCTTGGAGCGTCGTCTTCAGACCTGCGTCTACAAGCTTGGCCTCGCCAAGTCCATCCACCACGCTCGTGTCCTGATCAAGCAGCGCCACATCCGGTATGCGACCATCACTTGATCCACTACCATGAATTTGCGCTAACCCTCATCATCAGTGTCGGCAAGCAGATCGTCAACGTTCCCTCCTTCATGGTCCGCCTCGACTCCCAGAAGCACATCGACTTCGCTCTCACCTCCCCCTACGGTGGTGGCCGCCCTGGCCGTGTCCAGCGCAAGAAGGCCGCTGCTGCTTCCGGCGGTGCCGGTGAGGAGGAGGAAGAGGAGGAGTAAACGATTTAAAACTGGAGTACGGACGGGTTTCGTTAGCGAAATTAAAACTGCGGGGTTCCTTTATGGCTGCAGTATCGCGTATCACGTTGTACGGTCTTGCAATACCATGAATGAACAAATAGCCTTCGGCTCACTTTCGATGCCCTATCTTCTTCTCTGCGTAGTTGCGCGTGTATTGCCAATTTCCTGAATTTTCAATCTGTAGATGGGACTCAGCACAAGACGCCGTTTACGCCCAAAAATCCGTAGTCATTACTCATCTCAAAACCAACATCTTTTACCCTTCCACCCCCGTCAGCCTCTTCAGCGTCTCTTCCGCGCTTCTATACCATCTTCCCATTTCTTCGAGTCCGTCGCTCTCTCCCTCTTCCTTCTTCCTCTGAATCTCCTGCGCTTGCGCTATGGCTTCTGTCTTCCGCCGTTCTAGAACACTTAATTCGCGCTCCACCGCCTCCGCCTCTCTAGTCTTGCGGGGCAAGGCATTTTGCACCGCGGCAAGTTGTCGATCAAGCGCCGCCAGTTCGGCCTCCCGTTCGGATAGCAGGCTCAGCGTGGCCGGCAGAGGTAGATTCTGAGACGATGATGCATTTGCGTTAGTGACTTGTTTAGCACGCAACTCTTCAATGGTTGATTCGAGATTCTCGATCGATTCCGGCAGCGTTGAAAGCTTAGTCAACTGTAATTGCACGTTTTTGTATCCTGCGCGTCCCGGCATACTATCGTGTTAGGCGTTTTCAACATTCCAAGGCAGACAGGCTTGCACAACACTTCACTTGGCCTGTTATGAGCACTCACGATTTGCCAAATCCCTACCCATCTTCTCCATCTCCTCAGTCATCGCCCGGACCTCTTCTTTCCTTGCGCGAAGTTCTGCCTTCACCTCGGCCAGTTGCGTCTCGAGTACGACGTTTTCATTGTGCCCAACGACCAAAGGAGGATCGCCGACGATCGCGCGCAGGAACTTCTCCTTTGTCACTTGCTCTACATAAGAGAAGCGTAGTTTCGAAAATAACTCCTTCAAAATTGACTCATCAGTATGCCACTCTCCTACGCTAACTTGCAGACTTTCGCTAAGGGAAAAAAATCGAAGGGTTCGCACTTTGTAGTGGCTGAGGTCTGCCTCCAATGAAGCAGGTGTTGGGTTATCTAGCGAAGAGACATCTGAGTTGCGCTTCGAAGGGGTAGTGGTCGGTTTCTCAGATGTCGGAGAAAATATCGGTTCGCTGATCCGTATGATATTCAGCTGCGTCTTCAAGTCGCCATTTTCCTGTTCCAGTTGCTGCAGTTGTTTTCGTACTTCTGCGGGGTTCGGATCGGACATGTCTTATCGTATGGTGATGGTGTAGATATTGGACAGGTACGAGGTAGGTGACAGGACTTTCTTTGAGCCTAGTGGCCATGAATTGGTGAAAGTGTGTAGCCGACCGAAGAGGATTTGACGATCTAGCGGCGGTTTTCTGATGCTGCTGCGCGTGTCGGCAGAACATGCGGAGGTAAACAGTGGATTTCCCATTCATGGTGGCCCTTTGTTGACCCACAATGCCTTATCGGGGCTGGGCGGTGAAGTCTTCGCCGCCGCAATGACCAGCCAGTATCGCCGCTCGTAGCTCCCTCCTGCAATCAATCGTATCTTGCATTTGTATTCACATCTGCAGGGTTATTGAATTCAGGTTGCTCCCAGTTAAGCTACTAATGAGCTGGTGGTGAATGCGACTTCGACGTTCCATTTATGTCTAAATACTATCCCCTCCACCTGCCCCGCTTCCGACGATAATGCAATTTCCCCAACTCATCAAATCTCCTGCATTCCCCACCGATAGCACCGTCTGATACCATGTCCTCCAATCCAGCGAAATCGCTCGGCGCGCTCGACGACGATGACTACGTTGCCCAAGTCCTTGCGCGCGAGGCGCGCGACAGCTCCCTCAAGTACTCCGCACAAGGCTTGGAAGCATATATGCCAAGAAGGTGAGCACCGTTGGTTGCGCGCATGCAGTTCTCTGGGGTTTAGGAGGGCAAGAGCTGACATACAAGCCCGCAAGACCTACAGGCGCTGCCCCAAAACCCAATACGAGGTTTCTCCGGCATATCATCAAGGAGACGGACAGTCATAATGCGGCGTTGAAACGGAAGGAGGAGCGAGAGGCGAGGGAGCGGATGCGGCAGTTGAGAAATCCAGCGTCCACTTCAACGCATGAGTCGAGCCGGGAGCATCGGCGGCGGCGCGATTATCCTTCAGACCACCGAGGCTCGCGGACGAAAGGCAGGGAAGAGCGCGAGGACAGGCACAGCTCCCGTCGGAGGAAACACGGAAGTCGTTCGAGGTCCACGGAACGTGATCACACGCGCAGCAGCGACCGGAGGAGGTACAAGGATGATGACACTAAAGTCAGCCGGCATGATCATTCCCGAAGAAGTCGTCGACATCGATCTTCTTCGCGGTCTAGGAGTCGATCCCCACGGATCGATCGAAACTCAAGCTCCAGAAGTGCTCGCAAAAGCTACTGTACGCGTGGTGAATCGCCGCCACGCTCCCGGTCTCGGTCCCACGAAAGGTCGGACAAGCGCACAACCACAGACAGGGAGAGGAGGATTCACCCTAAGGACTATGATCGTCATAGCTCCAGAGGCCATAGGGCGTCGCGCGAGGACCCACCACGTCGTCACCCATCAGCAACTGAAGGCAAGCCATCGGACAGCGAGTCGGATCCACTAGAGGATCTCGTTGGACCCCTACTACCGAAAAAGGATGGATCTGAGGAGCCGGCGCTGATTCGTTCGCGCGGTCGAGGTGCCTACAAACCCAATATGAGCAACATCGACGCCCATTTCGCACCCGATTATGACCCAGCCACAGACGTGCAGCTCGAAGAGGACGATCTACAGTCCAGTAACAAGAGCTCTCGCAGACACGTTCCTGGTCTCATGACCGGCGACGATGATTGGGATTATGCTTTGGAAGCTCTGCGTGACCGTGCTCGTTGGAAGCAGAAAGGCGAGGAGCGGCTCCGCGAAGCTGGGTTCAGCACGGATTTTGTGGAGCGTTGGAAAAGCAACACTACCTCCAAGCCTGAGAATGATACCGATGGTAGACTGGAAACTGTGAAATGGTCCAAGAAAGGTGAGGGTCGGGAATGGGACCGCGGTAAATACGTGGATGAAGATGGACACATTGATGTAAAGGCCTCCTGGTAGCCCCTGGGACTAATAGAGAATCGTCTTGGAATTAGCAAGGGGCCGTAGCATTACTCTTAACCTATATCATAAAGACTATTACACTGTCATGCAATGAATTTCGCATCACTGTGCACACAGGCGGTTCTGTGTGATAATTCTTCTCAGATAACTACTAAATTATCAGAGGCATAAAGGTCAGTTTACACTCGTAGTAAGAGGCTGGGAGGTAAATCTTGACGGAAATATAAATAAAGTGGCGCCCGCCCCTATCCACCCCGCATCGGCAGTACATAGATGTACACTATCAAAAGCTGTGGAGAGATAGGATTTAGCTTCACCGGTTGGCCTTGCGAAGAAGTACTACACATGCAATCCCATTGGTATCAGCTACAACCAGCTGAAAGAATATGATCGTCATGATGGCTTCCAAGTTGGCTGTCTCGAACACTTTGCGGATGCAGTGCCAAGACCCAAACCCGACCAGTTCCGCGCCGTTGGTCAGGAGTGCGGAATTGTTCGTCATGGCTTTGCAAAATCGGTCACTAATTGCCTCATCGCAACGATTTTAAGTGGTGGGACAATGGGCTCAAGTGATTGCTAATGGAGATTATGATTGGTAATGTAGATAGAAGCCTTGAGATGGTAGACTACCTTGTAAAGTCCTTAAAGAATAGACTTTTCGCACCATCTGATAAGTCAACTATTCTGTAACTTAGTGTCGCATTGAGGAACGGGCCGAATTAATACTCAAGCACAGTCAACCGAATCTTCAACAATAAATTACTTCAGTACTGTTCAATACCAGACAAGATGACGGATCAATATGCCTTCTCATACCCCTCTCCGCTCAAAGGGTACGAGAATCTGGAGCCGCTCTCGGAGTAAGTCCAGCCTAGCCTTCGCATATTCACGAAACAATACTCCGTACCTGGCCAAGCGATTCTACACAACACGAGTTACTGAGATACTGCGGCTTCAAAGTGAGCGAAACGAGGACGGAAAGTCCCTCAAGAATCCCCAACATGGCATCCTGAGCAAAGCATACGAGGAATTCCCGGATCCCCTCACGAAAGGCCAACGCGGAGGCTTCGACATACATATCTATCACTTTCAAGTGAGTTCACGCCCCCATGATGAGCCAGCCATAGTACACCCAATTGCATATTCTCCAGACCTAATCCAGGGGTATCTGTTTCTAGAATGACCCCGACCAAGTCACTTTCGCCAAGGCGCTCTGGGAAAGAATCCGACGTGAATGTGAGCTTGTTTTTCCCCTAGTCCAGCGTTCTGAATACCTCCGCACGTGGGCTTCCAAACGGCCACGCTGCGTACTATAGGGGTGCATGTGGGCTCTTGAATAATTGACATTGACCCATATGGATGCAGTCCCCGAACTCCGGATCTACACCTTCTTCGATCGTCCCGTAGGACCGCATCCCGTGGCCATGTTCGAGGTCAATCTATTCACCCCGGCGCAGTTTGGAGCCTTCGTGCCATGGCTGGTCATCAATCGAGGGCCGTTGAGTGCTTTAATCCATCCGAATACGGTGAAGACGGAGGAGCTGCGTAATCATACGCAGCGTGCTACGTGGTTGGGCGAGAGGATTCCGTTGGATCTGCGGACTCTCAAGTTGATCTCGGAGCAGGCGAAGAAGGAGGAATTGGGGAACTGAGGATGAGGCAGTAGTGATGGCGGGTCATTCTCTCGACCGTGACTCGACTTTGTGTGCATAGCATAGCATAGCCTGGGTGATTCGTATTGAAACTGTTTATGAATCCAAATGTTTGACGTTCTCAATGCCGCAGAAACCTGATTGGGTTGATTGATTGTCACCCGCATCAAACTACTTAATTGGGGGGGGGGGGGGGGAAAGTGTCGGTGCCAAGACTATTGGTCATCTGCATGGGGTTGTGTTTGTGAGGACAAGGAGGAGTGAATCGAAGATGGTGTCATTTCCCTGGACATCGAAGCTGGACATGCCAGGGTAAGGGGCCTTGCTACTGGCCATTATGAGTTTCACGGGGCCCCAAACCTCCTCACAAGCTGCAGGGTGTGACCTTGACGATCACCCAGTCATCGTGCAAATTCCGATTTGAACGACCAAATGTGCCCTAGGTCAAGCCCATTGGTCAATAGCAAAGCTCAGGTTCTGTCGAAACTGCATGATATGCTAGACTCTGGTTTCTCTGCAACCAGGGAGCCTGACCCAGTAGCTTGATGATTTGACGGTCTGAGGATGAAGCAAGGCCGACAGAACCCTGACTGTGAGCGCTTGACCTTGGAGCCGAAGACAAAAGCAGTGGTTTCGGACACCGAAATCATCGTTGTGTCGCATGTGAGGCTGGAAAAAAGGGTGCAGGACTCGATCCGCACACTGTAGGGCATCAGGAGGGTAAGGCTTTGCAACATGCATCTCCAGATGACACGGTATGGTATGCTTCTGCTGTTTCATAGCATACTCAACGTTAAATGACTTGAAGATCACATTGTCTTGCGGAGGTTGCGGAGGGCTGAGAAAGGAACTTTGTATTAGACTTGGAAGGCCCCTTAATCCTCGAGTTAGAATACTGCATCGAAGCAACAGCAGCAGCTTTTCGAAATCATATGTAGACTTTGTTTCTTCCAATATGTCAACATGTTGAAACTCCTCTACCAGCTAACTCTCCTAGCCACGGAGAGTGTCCTGTCTGTCGCCTCGACTACTTCCCTCACAGCAACTACGATCCCCGCATATGTGATAGAATACGGTGAGTGAACACCGCGAAGCGAGTGCATGTGATCTGATTGGTTCCCACAGCACCGCTTGTATGGCTACACAGCCAAGATGTATACAGGCCTTCCGACATCGGTCAACAGCTCATAAACACCATTCCCATGGTGAATTGGTCATCCATTCCAGAGTCACCGTCGCTCCTAACTCTAGATAACCTCGCGTACCTCAACGACGTGGGCAACACGAGCGTGTATCTCACGTCCAAGGAGGGGATCGATGCGGATCCTCACCCATCGTGGTTTTATGGGGTAGATCCCGATATCCACGGCGTGACCGAAGGTGCTGTATCATCTACCATCGTCGTTCGCGATCATGGTGATGGAACCTTGGATGCCTTCTACTTTTACTTCTTTGCGTGAGTGAGCAGACTAAGCAGAGGGGGGGGGGGTTCACGGCTAACGAGTCTTGTAGATATAACCAAGGCAACACGGTCTTGGGCATGCAATTCGGCAACCATGTCGGTGACTGGTAAGACCACCCCCCATAGCCATCATGGCTGCGAGGCTCACACTGCAATAGGGAGCACAACATGATTCGCTTCGAGAATGGAGTTCCCAGATCGCTCTGGTATAGCCAGCACGCTGGCGGACAGGCTTTCACTTATGAAGCCACAGAGAAGAAGGGAAAGCGGCCCATCGCCTATTCCGCAAATGGAACACATGCTGTGTATGCAATTGCTGGGTATGATGTCTCGATGTTTGTATTCGAGTCAGGAGCTTACCGTATTCTCCGACAGGTCTCATGATCATACCATCCCCAACTTCAACCTTCCCACGGGATTGATCGTCGATTACACCGATCGCGGGGTTTTGTGGGATCCGACCCTCAACTCATATGCATATAGTTACGATGCAACGAGCAAGAAGTTCCAGCCCTATGACTCCAAGTACCCGGTCAACTGGCTCGAATACAACGGTCAATGGGGAGACGATGCATTGCCGGGTGGACCGGAGCTTTTTGGACAGGCCAAATACACCGGGGGCCCCAACGGTCCCAAATTCAAACACATCGTCCGATCCGAAGTGTGTCCGAAAAGCCCGTGCATAGTTCTCCCGTTCCGAATCTGGAGTGACGGCGAGACCACGAGGAGGCAGTGAATCTCCCAGTATATAAGAGGACTTCTTATTATCAGCAATGCATCATGCGATTCCTAAATGATGACAACAGCAGAATCCAATGTTGGGGGAGAGAACGTGTGGGGCCTGCGGTGTGTCTTGCTCTGGATGCCGAGGGAGGGGAATTCTGGTGATCGGAATGGGGCCAGCAATATGAGGATTCATTCGAAAAAATATGCTGGCTAAAAGGCCCAGGGATCATAAATGTTAGCTTTCAATAATGAAAAACCTAAAATTCCAACAAGCTGAATTGATATCTGGGATGCAGCTGGGCCCCTTCCCAATGCTGCGCTCCCTCCGGTCGCGTTTAGTATCTCTGTGCTCCTTGGCCATGACTCAGGGGCTTGGTGAGGATTGCGTGAGTTCTTCTTAGCATGGTCAATGCAAAGACTGTTGGAACCGTCTGTTTCTCGATTGTGATATTCCCTCTGCCAATTAGAGCGAAAAGCAGACCAGGAAGTGAATCTACTGCTCTCATTAGTCAGGACCAGGCATCAAAGCAGCATCCGCAGTCTCTGCCCACGTAAGACACGGGCAACTCGGAACGGAAAGTGACCCCCACCCCGCACTAAGAAAAAAGGGGCCACTCGCTGTATGAGGCAGGTGCTGGCTGAACCGATAAGCCCCCAAGAATGGCCGAGGCTGGTTCAATTTTCCTGAGTCTGACCTTCTCCCACGACCTTGAAGAATCCGACAATTATGGACTGGGAGTCAGAGGGTGTTGAGGCAAATGCTCAGAAAATCCGGGGAAAGGGAAAGAGGAATGTCGCCCAGATGCAAGAGATAAACAACCTAACGAGGAATGACAGGACGGTACCCACGTGTACTGTACCTGGGGAGTTTTGACCACCGCCTGATCGTCAGTTGAACGTGCAGGACGGTCAATACGAGGGGTATCGGAGACGTATTGAACGGCAACCATATCTGCTCCAATTCGCGATTCGATCCGTCCTTCGCTGCATGAACGTTAATAAATTAATCTATCACTGTGCCTCAATCAATCAATTGTTGTGAGATGGATCAGCCAGCTTAGCGCGGCTTAAGCTGTTTCCCACAGCATTCCAATCGCAAAGGAATCACAGTCAATTGTAGGGCTTCATTCCGTATGAGCCTGGAGCTCTTACCCAGGTACGGGGATTGTACACTAATTTCCGGGTAATAGAAGCTAACCACGCGTACGGAAATTGTCGTCGTACAACATCAGCAACATCAGAGAAGAGACCCAGATTCGAGAGCCAGTAACTAACTTAGTTAGCTGTAATCAATCAAACGGCTCACCCCTCCAGCATCCATCCAATTCAAAGCTAAAACCCCAACAGTTTAGAGGCTAAACAATCTGTCCTAGCAAAGCAACCCAGTGCTCACTAACCCCAAATTGCACTAGACCAACTTACACTGCTGAGAGAGTCTGGAAGAGACCGAGCTTCGCTACCGCTTTGCCCCTGAATTTCCTCCGGCTCAAAAGCTTCTCAAGCTTCTCTCCGACTTTGTAGACGTGCAAAAGTACCTAGAGAAATGACGAAAAGAGATTTGGAATAAAAGAAAAAGAAATAACGTGGGAAGCAAACCGACACAAAATAATTGGTTTCCATTCTCACAAACAAGACAGACTTCAGGCAGGTCCGAAAGTCCAGTTGTCCTGGAGAAAGGCAAACGTGCTGCAAGTCTGCAGTTGCAGTGTGTCTGTCAGTCGAGCTTCTGTTTTGCGAAGCAGAAGGTTCAGTCGACATCAGCCCAGTCCGGATAAAGGCAGCATCGCCTTTGTCCAATCTCACTGGCCGATCATCATCTATCCTCCAGCTCCATCCAACCTTTGCGCCGCTCTTCTCGGTCTCGGGCTCAATCCTTCATATCCTTTTGTGTCCCCTTTTCCTTCTTCTCATATTGATCCCGTTTCAGTTGTATGCGCCGCTTTAGTCGGGCGCTGTTGAGCAGGCATCGCTTTCAAAGATTCCCTGGTCGGATCGAACTGCAGTGCTGACGTATTGCTTGCTGGCCTTCGTTTTCATATTGCTTGCTGTACAGTACATTCGCGGTAGCAAGGTCTTTCAATTGGACGATCCACCTGCTGAGCTTGTGCAAGTCGATTGGAATAAACACCTGGTCGCTCGACTTTTCGTCTCATCTCGGGTCAAGCGATTGCGCAGACATCCGATAATTGTGTCTGGCCTCTCTGCTCTCTTCTTCTGGTCCGTTTGTCCGTCGTTTGGTCAAGAGGAATTAGTGCAAGCGAGATTAGAAGAACAGCGAAGCCACCCGAGCAGATCAGGTACGTTAATCATCTCGCAATCCGGGGACAGGCAATCCGTTGAGAACAATGAGTCTTCCGGTCAGGGGGTGCGGCGCATATTATACCGTGCCAAAACCACCTCTTTAAGAATTCATCGACTGACTGCAATTCACCACCCCTCTAGCTGAATTTACCCATTGGATCCTTCGGGGTTCCAGTCTAGATTGAGCCGAGAGCAATTTCGGGATTGCTAAAGTGAATGAATTATTCCTGACTATATCTGAGACACGCATCATTCCCAGTGACCCCACTTCTGTTTGGCCATTTGCCCCCCCATTCGTGTTACAGCCAGTCAAGTGATAAGAGAAAGCAGAGGTGACCCAGAATAAAACCCAATGGCAAGCACATCAACAACACCCCGGACTCCGGTTCGGACTGACCCTTCCGCTGTCGCCGCAGAGACAAAGGATCAACGCAGAGCGTCATCTTTAAGCTTCCTTCGTCGCTCCAAATCAATTGAACTCTTGGGTGAGAGGAGACCATCTGCAAGCAAAAGTGGCAAGAATATACCGACGGAAGCGGAATCTCACCATCAACGCGCATCAATGCTATACCACCAACCTCCCCGTCTTCCAAGCTTGTCTCCGGCTCCAGTCCTGGACACTTTTGGTGGCGAGTCACCACGAGAAACCACTGCAGCGCCTCCCACCCAGTCTCCCGTGCCCCGTCCGCAGAGTGTGTCCCGCAGTACGATGAGTACGCCAGTGAAGCCAGAGAGCAGCGATCCATACGCGCGCGCGGAAAGCATGGCAAACCGTGGACGTTATAGCTATGTAAGCAGCGCTGCTAGTTCCGTCAACAACCCGCGCCGTCTACGTCGTCGCAAAGATCCTACTCCATACAAGTAAGCTGTCATCAATCCGGGGACATCTCTCGATACAATATACTGACCTGCGTCAGTGTTCTTGTTGTTGGCGCAGGTAACTCGGGCAAGACATCGTTCCTCAAGTTTCTCAGAAAGTCTCTGGAGCTGCCCAGCAAGCATTCAAATCGTCAGCCGAGTGGCCTGGAAGATCAAGAGGGTCTGTCTACAACAGGCGAAGGCTACACTTCCTCCTATCTTGAGACTGAAATCGACGGTGAGCGGGTAGGCCTTACTTTCTGGGACTCACCGGGCTTGGAGAAGAACATTGTCGATATCCAACTACGTGGTGTAACAGGCTTCTTGGAGAGCAAGTTCGAGGAAACCCTGAGGGAGGAAACGAAGGTCATTCGCTCTCCCAACGCCCGAGACACGCACATACACTGCACTTTCCTGATTCTCGATCCCGTACGCTTGGATCAGAACATCGCGGCCGCTGAAAGAGCAGCGCAAGGGACTCCAAGATCAACCGACTCAACCATAATTGGCATCCTAGATGAAAGACTGGATGTGCAAGTCCTACGAACCATGGTGGGAAAGACCACTGTCGTCCCAGTAATCAGCAAAGCCGACACAATCACTGCCGGGCACATGGCATACTTGAGGAAAGCAGTCTGGGAAAGTCTCAAAAAGGTCAACATCGATCCCTTGGAAATATTGACTCTGGAAGATCAGGAAGAATATACTTCTTCAGAAAGCGGTGACGAGGAGGAGTCTGGCGATGATGAGGGGATCTCTAGATCTTCCGCCCCATCCGAACCCAGCCAGAACGCTCCCGAGCCCCAAACCGTGCCTCAGCTACTTCCCTTCACCACTTTGTCTCCCGATCCATACTCGCTGAAGTCTGGGGATGAGCCCATTGGCCGCAAATTCGCGTGGGGTTTTGCCGACCCATACAATCCAGAGCACTGCGATTTCCTCAAATTGAAGGAGGCTGTCTTCAATGACTGGCGGATCGAGCTTCGGGAAGCGAGTCGTGTGGTCTGGTATGAGAGATGGAGAACCAGCCGCCTCAACCGTCATGTCGCCACGTCTCCTGCTCCTTCCAAAGACCTTGCCCAGAAGAAGGTATACGGCGGGAAGACTGGGCCTGATCTCCATCGATTTGAGTGATCCCCTGCACTCTCGACAGCCGTTTAATATGGCTTGCATTATGCTCAATTGTCTGAGATTTATCTACCACCATCTTCTCATATTTGCTTGTTGCAGCCACAGCATTGGTTATTAGCAACCCGATCTTGCGAACTGTTTTTACCTGTTGATGATACGAAGAGAGACCGCCAGCCTCTCGACAGCCGAAACTGCTGATGAGAAATGGTCTCTTGCGTACACTATTCAACGTTCGATACTCTCCTTAAACACCTCTACCCTTTGATGTGATATCAACCCCATGTTTTAATGTACCAGCGCTACTGCGGCACTTTCGACTAAGCACCTGACTGCTTGGTCATCTATGCTGATTTTGTTACCCATTGCGTCCACAAGTCATACCCAATTCCATTCCTTCGTTGTACTTCTGATGATCTTCTGGTCCCTTTATGTTGACTCTGTCTTGCCAAACTACTTCTATGACTCGTGGCTTTGCTAAAGCTTCAGCATGTCTGTATCATGCCTGTTACTGCGATGGTTCGACGCTGTTATAGCGGGTAATGCATGCCAGACTCCGTGCGTGAAATTGGTTTATTCATTCCGGTAATAAGGCTGTGTGTATCGAGTAGATATTTCGGTGTTCAAGTATAGTCTGCTAGCTTAGTGTTGATGTCGTTTCTGTTCGGTCGGAGATAACGTTACCACCACTCACTACATGAATATGGACTGGGTGCATGCACTTATTACTGTAAAAGGAACACCGCTCTTTTTTGCTTTGAAGAGAACCAACCACCTCCGACTAGTAGAAGTGGATTAGGCTAGCCTAGTTCACTTGACGAGGAGTAAATGACCAATGATGGGAATGAGACCCTCTAATGAATCAATGATACGAAGCGCTAGTCCCGGCAGACGCTTGAATGGATTGAGGGAGGGGCCTTCGGAGGGGGCCCAGGCGGGTGGATTCCGGACCCCAAGCTCCCTTATGAACATGAGATGATGATTAGACTGCCGCCGCCCAGGGTGGACCAGCAATGGGCGTGCCCAGTGGATAGGTGGTTTTCAAGGCTGCAGAAGACGGTGTGCGGCTCCAATGGGTTCGCAGGCCCTCGATTGGATGGCGACACTTCTCAGTCTTCAGATAGTTTAGTACACTCCGTAGCGAGAGTCCTAGACTACAGTTGCACTGTCGCATGGTTGTTAACGGCGCGAAAAGACAGCAGCAAATATGCCCTGGTTACACTTTTGTGTGCAGTGTTTGTGTGTGCGTGCAGAAAGGGCAGACAAGGCGGTGGTGCGCGCAGCCCCGCGGGCGAATACTAACTCCCCTCCTCCTCATGCGGACGCGATTGACTTCAGCTGCTGTTGCTCAGCTGAACTCCCAGAACTCTTGATGATCACTCGCTGCAATTTACGCAGCCTTGTCACTCCAATTACTAGAGACTAGAGACTGGAGAGAAACACTGCCACCTAGTCTTAACTTACTTCCATTTACCTAATCTCTCTTCTGAGTCTGCTCCCCTTTTGACTCTCCGATCTGCGTACCCCGTTCCTGTCATCATATCCTATCCCGCCCTTCCCAGTCGTTATTTCCTCTGTGCTCCACACAACCTTGAAGGCGATCGCACTCTTGAGACTCCGCCTATCTACTGGTACTTCGCTTGGTCGCATTTTCACCTGCTTTTTTGACCTTCTACTCTGTACTTTACGCTCAGCCTCGGTGGGACTCTTGCTCGCAAGCTCTGACCTCTGATTATCGTCGCACCGGTTTCTAGCTTCCTCATCCATGTCACTCCAGGTGGGCGACCCACGGTCGCGAGGCCGTTCCAAGTCCCCAGGCGGCCGTATCCGCGATCGTTCCAAATCTCGCGACAGTCGGCAGCCTCCAACCCTTGACCGCACTTATTTGTCTTCCGCTCCGGCGGACGGGAAGTTGAGGACCAGATCCAGGAGCAGAGGTGCTGCGCCAGGTGACTTTATCCGGTCTAATCATCGTTATGGCCCCTCTGATAGCCGGGATCCTTACTTAGGAATCGAGCACGGTCGAGACTACTACTACCAATCTGATTCGGGCGAAAGCAAAGGTGCAAAGCGCGACAGTAGATACTCTTCTTCCGCTCATCGCCGCGATGCGCGCTACGAGAGCTACTCGGAGAACTCGTACTCGGACTCGGAGGATGATGCGCTTGCCTACGGTGACCTCCCCGATGATGACCTGGAGCGAAGTTATTACGGATATAAGGGTACCGGCCGCGCTGCGTCACCGCGTCATGGGGGCGCTATGATGTCCGGTGCACTCAATCCGGGTGCACCCCCGGCTGGGGCGTCATCTCGCTCTGGGGATGGCATCAAGGAGCGGGTTCCTGGTAGTCATCCTAGCTATGCCAGACCCGACCCTTTCAAATATGCTGCGCAATCTCAGCATCCTCACGCTCAACCTTCACATTACGGTGACCCTCTTGCTTCATCTACCGTACCATCTACATGGGCACCGATACCTGAGTGTGAGCGACCGGGGTTTGTACCTCCATTGCCTCAGAGGCCTAATCAAGCAATGCCTGGTGCATACCCAGCCGGCTCTACTCAGCCTGAGATGCCTGCCGCAACCACTGCAGCCCCAATGCCTACATACAGATATGTCGATCCAAGTTCGACACAGAACCCTTATGCGCCGCAGAATGGTCGCCCGCTGTCGGTGTCTGCTGCCAATACATACGCAGCTGGAGTGGGCTCTTCAGCCCACCAACGCTCCGCATCGAGCGATGCGGCAATCAAGCCTTCATATGCTGCCCCAACCCCGTTTCAGTATGCACAAGTTGATCCCAACGTGAAATACTCGACCAAAAGTGCCGCGCAAAATGCTACCAAGCCGGTCACGTATTCCGCGGCGCCTCAATACTCGAAGAGCGGCGGCGCACAGGCCAATGACTCGCCTTATAGTGGAGTCAAATACACGGCTGCTCCTCAACTTCCTAAAACTCCGACCAGTCGTCAGGAAAGCGGTCCGCAGTACGTGGAAATTGCACCTGGAAACCGGAATGCTGGCCGACCTCACAGTCACTCCGTATCGTCGGCCCATAATCTCACAGTTGCTGGCCCTGACCCGACTCAACGACCGGCCAGCCCGCTCCAAGAGCCGTACAAAGGGACCTATCAAAGTATATCGCCGATGCCATCACCTATTGTCATTTCGTCACGGTACGATGATGACATCTCAGACCTAGAGCTAGTGGGCACTAGTTCAGACGAGGGAAAGAGGGAACACAGACGCAAGAAGAGTAAGGACGAGAGGGAGTTGAAACCCGATCGTGTGAGACGGGAGAGTAGCCGAGTACGGCACGAACGACATGGGTCCACCGGTCCTGACGCTCTCGTCATGATAACCCCCAGCAGCAGTCGAAAACGAGTTACCTTCTACGATGCAGGTCCTGATGCTCTAGCCTTGCAACAGGCTCTATCGCACACGCGACATGTCGACAATAAGACCCTGATTAAAGTGCTGCCACACTTGACAAGCGATGAAATCCTGGATCTGCGCAAAGAGTACAAAAAGCACGTCAAAGTCCACGGAAAGGGAGTGAACCTGGCGAAGCACGTCCGACTGAATCTGGGCAACAGCGCTTTTGGCAAAGTATGCTATGCTACGGCTTTGGGACGTTGGGAGTCCGAGGCCTATTGGGCAAATTGCTACTACCAGTCAAGTACATCTCGGCGTGAACTCCTGATTGAGTCTCTCTTCGGTCGGACAAATGGCGAAATCAGTGAGATCAAAGAATGCTTTCGGGATTCACGGTACTCGGATAGCCTGGAAAAGTGTATGAAAGCCGAACTGAAGGCAGATAAGTTCCGTTTGGCAGTCCTACTTGCTCTCGAAGAGACTCGACAGAACGAACGAGATCCACTTGATCCAGAACTTATTGAGCGAGATGTGCACGAGTTACATCGCGCTCTGATTTCGCGCCATGGAGGTGAGACGGCGATGATCTATATCATCGTCCGGCGAAGCGATCCTCATCTTCGAGAAGTGCTACGCGCTTACGAGAAGGTCTACCAGCGCAACTTCGCTCGGGCCATGATGGAAAAGTCGCAAAATCTCGTGGTAGGTTCACTATGCCGCAGTTCAAGTTTCATTTCGCTAATTCATCTCACAGGGCGAGACACTTGCACATATATTGAACGGAGCAATCAATCGACCCATGCGTGATGCTCTCCTTCTGCACCAAGCGCTACGCGAATCACGCACGGGTAAGGAGCGGTCCGAGCTCCTGATCTCACGACTGGTCCGGCTTCACTGGGAGCCACGACACTTGGAAAAGGTCAAGAACGAGTTCCGGCAGCGGTACCGCGAGCGGCTGGAAGACGCTATTGCCGAGGAAGTATTGACAAGTAGCGGAGGTAGCGAATGGGGAGAATTCTGTATCGAGCTAGCTCGCAGCTCCAAGACTCTTGTTGGCCGCGGTTGAAAATCTGGCGTTCTGGGGAAGGTTGCACTTTTGATTTTTCTTATTTCTTCCCGAAAGGAACAGTATATACTATTCCCTTGCTTCCAGCGCGTGACGAGTGATGATTATGATGATGATAATGGTATCGATATCATTAATGTAACATGTCAAGGCGATGTTCTTTACTTATGGATACCTGGACTGGCTGATCCGTCTGTCCCCTACCCTCTCAGCAAAACCGGAGCATACTGTGCTCTCTGGCGGCAACAGCAGACACGGACATATCGACATGTTCTCTCGGAGCACGAGGGGGATATTTCTGATATTTCTGCCTGGTGGATATAGACATGCGGTGGTAGTAATGACTTATCATGATGAAACCACGATCTTCTCTGTTTGATCACACATAATGTCTACACTAACCTAAATTTCAGTGACACGTACCTTTTGGAGACATTTCAGATATAAATAAGATATGAATGCTCGAATTCCGTGAGTCTTTCAAGATAATTATGACCGAGACGGACTCTCAACTGCCTCTGGGGTTGGAGGAGGTAGTCACCGGTCATGCATCAAGTATATCACAAGACAGACGAGACGTGAAGTTGCCGCAATATTAGGCTGAACGGAACTTCTCCGAAAGGAAAGATTTGGAAGGTGGAGAAATGGTGGAAGAAATCTGGGGCAAGGAAGAGTCTAATTTGCTCAAAGTTGAGGAAGGATGAAAAGGAACTGGAAGAGTCTTGAGTTCAACTCAACCCAACCGAACTCTGCCGCTATCCGAGTCAAGCTGAGTTGAACTAATCCATCCTTTCCTTCCCCGTTCCTCGTCTTCCGCCTATGTCCGACCATGCAGCCATCCTGGTGTTTGACAGGGTCACACTGCATCCTCCCCTGGATCTCATCTCCCTGTTCCACTTAGTGCAGCCTTCCCCTCGGTTCCTGGACGCAGGGGGAATCCACTAAAAAAAGTTGGATGAGGGGAAAACCCCCCCGGGCCCCCCCCGAACTACTACTCTATTTCATTCCTCCACATGATGCCATCACCACCTTTGGTCACAATGCCCACTGAACCGTTAAACTTTGAACTATTAGAGAGCGACTTTGGCGCATGCTGCATTATCAATGATCGGACTGACGGACGAGAGAGTCAGTCTAGCTTCGATATGCTAGCCATGCACTGAAAGTCACGGGCATCGCACTTTCTTGCGGGGGTAATTTTACCTGCAGAGAACCGACCCTTCAGATTTACTAAACTATTGAATGCTAGTCATGTATGAACCATGTCACTTCCTGCCGTTTTCAAATTGTCGTCTCCGTTCGCTGGAGGGGGGGGGATTCCTTCTCTCCGCGTCCATCTCCAATGGTTTCTTGGGGATTCTACTTTCTACTCCACTGAAATGCACCTTATTCATTTCGCTCCAGTTCTTGCCCCCCCCTCTTCATCAAACGGACTGGCATCATGTGTGACCACTTTAATCTATTGTTTATTGTTTGTTTGAACTTATGATATTGTCACTCGTTCATGTTTCCATCTGCAGAAGGTAGTCACCTGCCCCCCAAAATGCTAAGAATTGGGCTTCAGTCTGACTGTCTCTCAGCACGACTATACTCGTTCGAGCCTCAGTCCCAAGACTCACCTGGACCGAATTTCAAGCATTCCTCCATACAGCTTGATCAGTCTATGCCGGAATTGCCGATTAGCGTCTGGCCTAAGGAGGTTCTGCAGCCCCAGTTCCGCATGAAAGAGAGCGGCCGAGACCAGATGCTTTAATTAAAGCTTGCATGGTAAGTTCTGGTCACATTCAGCCATGGCTTCCATGCCAGCGAGCGTCTCCATATTTGACACGGTGAAGAAAACTGTTCGGAGATTTGGATGTGCATGGGGTGGGGGGAGAAGCACCTCTCCTAGGGACTGTGAGGTCAGACGACGGCTGAAGACATTGCATCACGCATCTCTTGGTCTTTCGCTGAAACATGCTAGGTCAATTGAGATTGACGCAATATTCAGGACGTGTCTACGTTGAATCGCATCGTCCTTCAAATACCCCCTCCTTTTCCGCTTGGTATGCTGGCTTGATCCTGTGCTCAAACGTCCTTGACATTCCAGTTCAGCATTCCGGACTCCACATTCGCCATCATCGCTGCAAAATTTAATCTGTTTTGTCATTCCCTTTTTGCTGCGCGAAGAAACAGGCGCTTTTTACTTATAAGGGAGGGCCATGCTCCTAGTCTGAGTACCTGGTGGCTAAATCACAATGACGCGGTTCATATTAGGGTTACTGGTGACGGTGTTGGTCTCCTTCGCAGGGGCTACATCCGTATTCTCTCCTGCTCGACCCCCAGCATTACCTTTGGCAGTCAAGTCACCGTATCTGAGCACTTGGCTTGCTGCGGGGAGTGACGGAGGCAATGGAGGGTATTTGGCCGGGGAATGGCCAACGTTTTGGGCGTGAGTGCTACTTTACCCTGCACCGCTGTGCAATTCTCTACAATCAACGCGTGTAATTGACTGAGACTTGATGCGAAACAGTGGACAAATCAACGGCTGGGCTGGTATGGTTCGTGTCGATGGCACCACTTACACTTGGATGGGGTTGCCAGGAACTACCACAGTCAACCAGACTTCCTATGTTTACACGTCTACGAGAAGCATCTTTACCATGAATGTGGCAGACAAAGTGCAGATGAACATCACTTTCTTATCGCCCATTACGCCAAATGATCTGAAGAGACAATCGCTCATTTTCTCTTACGTGGATGTGGAAATTGAATCGCTTGACGGCACGTCTCATGACGTGCAAGTTTATGCAGATATCTCGGCCGGTAAGTAAATTTCAGAAGGGACAGTGTAGACTGGGTCTGGTGCGTTTGGTTTCGGGATAACTGACACGCTGTAGAATGGACTTCTGGAGATCGCACTGCCACTGCAACATGGGACTACGAAACCACCAGCAACAATGTCGCGTACCACAAGGTTAGCCGCCAAACCCAGCTTGCTTTCTCGGAGACGAGCGACCAAGCGGATTGGGGAGAGTGGTATTGGGCGACCGACGAGAACGAAAGCATGACCTATCAATCTGGTATAGATGTAGATGTCAGAGGGGCTTTCTCGGCAAATGGGACATTAGGAAACTCTCAGGATGCCAACTATCGCGCAATCTCGACTAATTGGCCGGTGTTCGCGTTTTCCCACGACTTGGGATCAGTTGACTCTTCAGTTGGAGTATTGTTCTCCATTGGACTGGCTCAAACCGATGCAATGCAGTATAATGGGACTGATAAGGGTTACGCACCTCTGCCATCGCTATGGACAAGTTATTTCAGTGATGGTGTCGAAGCCGTAAGTCCTCGCTGAGCCATTGCGGATACTATCATACACTAACAATTCACCATTAAGCTGGACTTTTTCCATAATGACTACGGAACCTCTTCGTCTCTCTCCACAGAGCTAGATGACAAGATTGCGGCCGACTCTCTAGCAGCAGCTGGTCAGGACTATCTTACAATCACTTCGCTCACTGTCCGGCAAGCATTTGGTGCAACACAATTGTGTGGAACAATCGCAGATCCTTATCTTTTCATGAAGGAGATCTCTTCCGACGGGAACATCAACACTGTTGATGTCATATTCCCAGCACATCCGATATTCCTATACACCAACCCAGAGCTTCTTGACCTCCTACTGAAGCCCCTTTATGAGTTTCAGGAATCTGGGAAGTATCCCAACTCTTATGCAATGCATGATATCGGAAGTAATTATCCCAATGCTACTGGCCATGCAGATGGTAAGGATGAGGCGATGCCACTGGAAGAGTGCGGAAACATGGTTATCATGTCTCTGGCATACGCTCAAAGGGCCGGCAATACGTCCTACCTTCAAGCGCATTACGACATGCTGAATGTATGGACAAGCTATCTGATCGAAGATGCGCTGTACCCGTCCAACCAGATTTCCACTGACGACTTCGCTGGAAGTCTAGCGTGCGTTTTCCGTGACTCGTTTGCAAACAAATGCTGATTCATTCTATAGCAACCAGACAAACTTGGCTTTGAAAGGAATCATTGGCATTGAGGCGATGGCCACCATTAGCAAGCAAACCGCTCACTCTTCTGATGCTTCGAACTATACAACAATCTCCCATCGATATATCCGGCAGTGGGAGAAGATTGGCATTGCACACAATGCACACCCTGCCCATACAACGTTGTCATATGGCGCAAACAACTCCCATGGTGCGTGGGGTCGGATTTTCACTCTTATATAATTGAGTTACTGACAATCCGAACTAATAGGTCTCTTGTACAACCTTTACGCCGACCGCGAGCTGGGACTGAACTTGGTACCCAAGTCAGTATACGAAATGCAAAGCGCATTCTACCCGACGGTGCAAAATACGTATGGAGTACCGTTGGACACGCGACACACATATACCAAGGGTGAGGCAACTCGAATATCATATGTTGATATCCTTCTAAAGCATCATACAGGTGACTGGGAGCTGTTCGCTGCCGCCGTCGCGTCCACCAGCACGAGGGACATGTTCATCCAGCTTCTTGCGAACTGGATCAATGTTACTCCAACCAATCGAGCGCTTACGGATCTCTATGATACCACCACTGGGAAGTAAGCATCCAGCACTCTCTGTCTTTTCAGAACCATTCCGGCTAACATTTGTAGCTATCCATCGATCACCTTCATCGCCCGACCCGTTGTGGGCGGCGCCTTCGCCCTCCTACTCCTCAATCTAGGCAATTGAATTACTTTAATATATACCCATCTATTCTTGGTCTGCGCAACTGACCTGTTCTGCTCAAAGCCTTCTTTGGTTCCCTGGAGCGGACCAACCTGTTTTGTTCATTCGTTCAGATGTGCCGGTCACTCGCTATGCATTTATCTTTGGAACCGCTTTATTGCTACCAGACCGTTGTGTGTATCTTTAGGCCAAGTCTATGTTTTCGATTGTCAGCCTGGTGGTGCATTCGGAGGCTATGACACGCAGAGTATATACGTTCCCTCG